CTGAAGAACTCAAATCACTCTATAAAAAAGATACCTGCACACGAATGTTTATCGCAGCATTGTTCACAAAAGCAAGAACCTCAACCCGTTTTTAACATTATCTTTTCATTTGATTTGATGTTTTTAAAAATAGCTCACTGTAACTTCAAACTGCTGGCCTCAAGCAATCCTCCCACCTAAGCCTCTCAAGTTAATTTTAAAAAAATTTTAAATTAATGCCCAGTTAATTTTTAAAAAATTTTTTGTAGTGATGGGGTCTTACTACATTGTCCAGGCTGGTCTGAAACACCTGGACTCCCAAAGTACTGGGATTACAGACGTGAGCCACCACAGCTGACCCTCAACCCACTTTTTAATTTGCTGTAGGCTGGGGAACCAGGCAATTATGGCTGACAGAGGCAATGAAAATTTGGGAGCTACACTAAGGTGTCTCCTAGGACTCAAAAACAGTGTCCCCAAAACGGTGACCTCCTACTGTTAAACTTTAAAATCAACACACAGTAGGCAGAATAATCTGACAAGATACAACAGCTCTCAAGCCAGGAAGATTCTATTGTAACCCAGTCTGAATGGATTAACATTAGCTACAGAATGATTTTCTGAGGAGTTTGCTCACAACAAAACACAGAAAGATGACTCGGAGTGGCCAATATGGGCAGTGCTGGAGAAAAGTAGCAAATGATCTTCATGTCTTAGACGCCATGGGCAAAATCCTCTTAAATTGACACGGACACAGGGAACTGTAACCTGTAGGTTTCAAACACCAAGTTCAGTGGATTATTCCTGTTGTAGAGTGTCAAATATTCATTTGTTCATTCAACAAACGAACAAATTGGGCAACCACAATCCTAATCCAGACTCTCTTACTTTTTAAATTCATTGTGCCTTCCCACCAAGCAACCTTCGAATTGTGACTGACCCCCGGGGCAGATCTCCCCACAGGGCAAGAATGTACTGGTTATGCTGGCATTGCAAGGAACAAACTCTTCCAAACAAGGAACAAACATTACGATGTTGCATATCAGTCTCCTGAGCTTGGTTAAGGCATCTCTGGCCATGAGAGATGAATGCTCTATCATGTGTTGACAAAAATGATTTAAGCCCGAAGACCTAAAGGTTAGGCCATGACCAGCAAGATCGCCCAGGTGGCAGGTCTCCCCTTGGGATTTTGCTTGGTGCAATGTGTTGAACCGATGTGCTGTGACACTGAAGTGACATGAGGCAGTGTGGCTCAGTGATTTAGAAGAGGATCTGGGGTCAGCGATACCTGATACTGAAGGCTGGTTTTGCTGTTTACGCTCTGGTTTCCCCCAAGCAAATTACTTAACTGCTCTAGGCCTCTTTTTCCTCAACCATGAAACTGGGTAATACTTTAGGGTTTTGCTTTGGCTCAATATCTAAACAAAAGCAGCAAACCTGTTAAAACCTGTTGAAGTTTTTAAAAACCTGCCCCTACCCTCAGCCAGTTCCACACCTTCAATTCTGACTTACAGGGCAATTTGTCATTTATCTTTCCATAAGAAGGAAGTGTGGCATTCTTTACAAGACTTCATTGTCTGTGGAAACCTCCCGAAAGTGGTGAAAGTGGTCTTAGACACACAGCTCATCTATGCTGTTGTGCTTTCTTCTCTTAGATTTGAAAATTGCCTTCTTAGCAAATTGTCTCTTAGCAAATGTAGTTACAGCTTTAAGGCAACCACTTTAGTCATCGCCCCTACGGAATAATTCTATTTACTTCAAAACAGCCGCCCCATCTCCCGACTCCTCAGCCAACACAAAGACATCGTGTTCTTCAAGGATTCACCATCTGAGACCAGCTTGTTAATAACAAAATTATTCCAGGTCTTAGTGTTCTCTCATCTATGAAATAAACATCCTTTTAAAACAGACAAATCAAATGGTGTTTGGAGACTGCATTAGCTATCTTTATTGCACTCAAAAGAACAACTCAAGACACACAGAGAGAGTGGGTTTTCAAACAGGCATTTTCTTGACCCCGTTAAATTTTTATTCAGTGAAAAAAGTTGACATTGAGACAAAAATTATCTTAAAATTGTGCAACAATATAGTAAAATCTTCAGCAGAAATCAGTGACTTGGAAACTTATCGAGGCAATTGAAATTATAAATACCTAATTTCACTTTGGAGAGAAACAAGTATACAGTGTTTCACTTTAAATAAGAGCAGAATAGGCCTTTATTTTGCTGCAAATATTTTTGATTTTGCCTAACATTTCTAATAATTCATAACAAGAGTCTTTAAATGAGAAGTGACATGGAATATCTGAGGATAATGTTCCACTTCAGCATTCATGCTTATTCCATTTGAGCTATTACGCATGAAACTCATACCATTCTTGGGTTATTACTTGGCTCGGATGACTTAATTCATAATACGGCTGCTCAAAATTAGCGGGCAGAAACATATATACAACCCATCCTCCCTCAACCCACGTTCAGTGGTGGTATCTCTTGTCTGTGTACCCAACAGTACATATTTCTTGCTGTCTATTCCATATCTCAGTCTTGCATAGAAAGTAGTCTATATAAACTTAATGCACTGGCTTTTATTACACAAAAATTGTACCTGAAAGGCAGCACACACTCCAGTTAAGAAAAATAGCATAATAGGAATGTCAAGATACAGCCCCAACACAGGAGTCTACACAGTTTTTGAGTCAATTCCTAAAATCTATATGGGGATGGTGTTCAGTTTGGTTATATCTCTGGATCTCTTTGCTAGGCACCCCCTTCCCAAATGAAGGAAGAGACTTCTAGGGAATTCACCAACATTCCCTTCGTGGGAAACAGGTCAACCAAATCTGACAAGATGGAGTTCCTGCCCTTAAGAAAGTACTGGAAATGTAATCTTACTAGATGGAGTGACCACGGAGTAGGTATCTAAAGGCAGAGTTCTCCAAGGTGTGTTTATCTATAAGGGACTCACCCCACCATTGCTCTCCCAAGTTCCCCCCAAAATGGCCACTGTTTTGAGAAGGGTTACATTCCATAAATTGTTGAGTATAGCTTAATCTAGGGGGCCACACATGGTGGGCAGAAGAGAAAATGCAGCTGTGCGCCCCCCATCTGTCCCTCACTGAAACATCCCTGTGATTACTACCAGGGTGGAATCCCAGAAACCACTTTTCCAAAGGTCAGAAGTTTCAACCATTTACCTAGAATCATAACTATTTATCCAGCTTGCCAGGGCAGCCAGTGGTTACTGGAACTTTTCACCTGTTTAGAAACAGGTCTGCATAGACATGGCCTCTCCCTGGAATCTTCTCTAGAACTCCATTCTCACATTTTATCCACATGTCCACATGGACCCGTATCTCAAAGCTCAAGGAGCATTCACTACATCTAAGAACAAAGTCAGCTTCCAGATAAACCCACACACAATCCTCCTGTGTTTTGAGGGGGTGGTTTCGAGACCAAATGTTAGAGGCCCATTGTGGTCCACATGGATGCAGGCATCTGACATTCAAACATACTCTGGGAGAGAATAAAACCTTTTCCCTGCACAGTGTGAACTTTGGAGGTGGCATCTCCAACAAGGTACAAAAGCCCCTTCTTCACAAGCAACCAGGGGCTCCAACTAGTCACAGTGAAGAGTCGTCTGGTCACCTTCAAAAGCTGCATGCAGGATTTGTGTCCATTTCCTATTGTCACTCCAACCTCTGGACTCTTGCAGGCAGCATATACACATCAGATCCCCACAAAGCTATGCAGAGGGAAAAAGGAGTGCGTGCTTCAAAAGTTCATAAAAATATACAATTTACACATAGCTGCATCTATCTAGCTTAGTCTTCAGAAACTTAGCTCTTCTGTTTATATAAAATACTCTAGCCCTAAAAGGCTGCTTTTTTTCAAACAGCACAGTGGCATTTTCCAAGGAGAGGGGTGATGGCCGGTCTGTACAGTACTGTGCACTAAGCAGTGGCAGGCACTGGTAACTAGACTGGATGCTTGAAAATATCTCAAGCTGCCAACTGGAGACATATGCTCCGTAAAAAGGCTTGCCTATGGAATAATTGAAAATAACATCTCAGAGCCTTTTATATCAGCTTTTTACAAATGCCACCAAAAAGTTGGCAGAAAAAGAAAAGAAGAAAATACACTTTCTAGTGGTTCAATTAAGTGACTTGCCTCCCACCAGACTGTTAATCTTTCAGCTACGTAAAGAGCTTATTAAAGGGAAGGTGGTAGGTAGAGTTTTGCACGAAACTCCAACGTAAGACAAGACAAAGGCAAAAAAATTCCAGTCTTTAAAAAAATAAAAAGGAAAGTGATAGGAAAGAAGAGAAAATATGCTGGGAGAAGGCTTATCGTTACCTCCACTTGTTAAAAAGAAGTAGAGCCCTACCCTCGTGGCATGCTAAATGTCTAAGTTGAAAATATATATATTTATAAATAAAAATGTTAAAAACTAAAAAAACTGTAATTGGCTCTTTCTTGGTTTTCCAAACAACCCCTAGGTAGAATGAAACTAGATGATCACCCAAGAATGATACTTTTGGTCAAAAGAAACCAAACACCTGTGAGAAAGTGACGCGCTGCATCTAAGGGGGATGGGGTTTTGCAGAGTTTGCATATAAAGGATACATATTCAGAGGCCTGGCTTTGGAATATTCCCAGAGCTCACTGCTTCTCAGCTGTGAGGGAATTCTGCAGTGAGGTTCCTACAGTACAAGTCACAACAATGCTCGACATCGGTGCCTACAACACTAAGTCTAAAGTGTGGGCATATCAGTCCACAATGGATTCTACATAACTATCAAGTGGCCACGATTTGAATATAGGGGGATGGCATTTTAAAGGCAGAGGAAAAAATGCACAGCGTGTTTTTTAGAGAGAATAAATGGAACAAATTCTAGCACTCCTGCTGTTGTCAATTGGATTGAGTGGTCTCAGATGTTTAGATCCGCTCTCTCTCCGTGTGAGTGTATAGCACTTTCTCTTTAGATTGCGCGGAGGCATGGGTGAAGAAGGTGAAAGAAAAGGAAGAAAAAAAGAAAGAAGGCACTGACCCAATTCAAAATGACTGCATATATCAGTATGGACTTTTAACAATAGTAAGTGGCCACCTCAATTCAAATATAAAATTTTACATTCGAGATTCTTCAGTGGTAAGCAAAAACAAAAAACCCAAAAAAAGGAAAAATTACATACTACCTTGGCCAGTGTATCTATCATGGCACAGATCTACAACTCTCTCCCACAACCAGAGTCATTTTTTGCAATGACAGTGAAACCAGTGTATAATATAAGCCGAGTTATCATTTGCAGCTTTCAAAGCTACATCTTGTCATATACAGGAAAACGCCATCAATTGATATAAGAGAGGAAGCTGTTGATTTGCAGGGCTTCCCAAGCTGCAGCTCTGTGTAACTGAGATCCAGCAGTGACTCAGTGCTCTCTCCTGCCAAAGACCATGACGTGACACACAAGTGAATACAAATGGATTGCTTCCGAGACGGCAACAAAAATGCTTCTGTTCACCACCCCCACCCTCTGGGTGAGAGGCTCATAGCACATGCAGTGCCTGATGACCACTAAAGCCTGGCCTTACACAGAGTCCCAATAAATTAACAAAATAACATAAAAGAACCGTCCCCCATAATACACCCAAACACTTCCCTATAAACTGAATCAAAACAAAACTTAAAATTTGAGCCCATTTTCAAGGAGAAGGGACTCCATCCATCACTCTCTCTTGAGGTTTTTATTAAATACATTTCTGTGTCTTAGAAAAATAAAAAGAATGGCCGATTTACTGAACCAAAATTATCTCACAGACTTAAAAGCATGCCCAGCAAGCACAGCCCTGTAAGACTACATTAATGTCAAATCAAAGCAATTTGGTTACTAAAATCAACCTGGTTTGAAGTTCACAGTTGATTACTACAAAGTTTATTCATTCCTTTCTTTCCTTTTTTTTCGTTTCGTTTTTGTTTTTGGCCCATATAAAAATAACATATTGCAACTCAAAGTGCATCTTTTAAAATAAACCATCAACTATCTTTATCAAATAAAATATTTACACCATTTGGTTTCTAGTGAGGAAAGCTCTTTCAGGCTATCACCATGGGGACATCGTCTGAAAATCCAGTTATCATAGGAGCATCTTCATCATCCTCCCCTAAAAACAAAAGTCAGACCTTGATGAGTTTCAACACATTTCACCTGACCCCACATCCCACCACTCTTCCCCCTCCCCGCAACCCTACCACAATCCTCCAGCTGGGAAGGTCAACACCACAGGCAGCCAGGTATAACCATCAGTTCTAAAACCTAGCCCAGCTTCCCTCTGCCACTCCTGGTCACCTTCTCCCCATCAATGGATGCTCAGACATGGTAGTTTGAACTTAGCCAAATAAGGGACGCAAAGCTTTTAGGAAGAAGACTCTTATGACCTACCCAGTAGCTAAATGGGTGGTTTGGGTTCCCCAGTTTGAGTTTTTGGTACCGTACCTTAGCACAGAACTGCAGGGTCTGCTTTCTCTTTTGAACCCAAACTGCTCTGAGGAAAAGGACCTTGCAGGGTTTTAAGCATGTTGAGAACAGCTTCCCAGATTAATGGCCATCCCTTTGTGACCTGTGGTACAATCTTGTGCAACCACATTCAGTGATTATTACATGGCACCATCATGGGTTGACTCCTTGCCCCCCAGTAACAGAGACAAAGAAGCCACCCCATTCGTGCAAAGCAGGCAATGTACTTGCTCATTAAGCAAGAAAGAAAACTGAGAAGGAAAGGGAGCCTAGCTAATACACGATCAGTAAATGGGAATACATAAATGTCTTTATAAACATAGAATACTAATTATAACTGGTTTACAGGGGAAAAAATGTAAATTCACATTCATCAGCCTGAGTTTGGGGAAGCCTTTTAAGATACCCACTTTATTATATTACGTGGTCTACTAGCTCTGTTTAGGAATTCCAGCATACAAAGCATTCGAAAAGGGAAATTTCCTTCTTTTTCCCTTCCTATGTGTTATTGATATGTAAAAGAATGGCTAGTGATGTTACATTAGCAACTGGAAAGAAAAACAGCAAGGTGGAAAGGCCCTCCTGTGATAGAAGCTGACTGGGAAAGCATTACTTTTTATCTTGACTAGGAGCTCCAGAGATGTCAGACCTCTAGGTCTGTGAAGCATGAGCAAGGGCTTGGGCATTCCCCGAATTTTCTGATACTCTGGGAGTCTCCAAAACCTGGGGACCCATCTATCCCTCCTGTCCAAAGCAAGCTTCCTTCAAACCTTCCGCAAAACTGCTCTTTCTGTTTCAGGTCAGAACTACACTACTGAAGAGAATACAAATTTTTCATTTAAAATTTAAATGAAAAGTTTTAACTTAAAAGTAAAAAGCTAAGGGCTCTAATTTGTTTAACCCAAAGCAGTGAAATCACCAGTTGATGAAAGCCTCTAGTGTCAAAAGATGAGCCAAAGGTAAGTATTTCCCGATCAAGTCATTGGCTTTGTTGGGGTCGGCCTGGGCGAAAGAACCAACTTCCCCTGCCCGACTTACCCAAGTCGTCCCCTGAGGAGAAGATTGCTGACCCCAGCCTGGAGTTGTAGTGACTATTGGCAAAGGCAGTGAAGCTGCTCTGCAGCCTCCGATGCTTTGTGTACAGGATGGCAAACCCGACCCCCAGGCTCAGCAGTATCAGGAACAAGATGGGCACCACCACGGCGGCAACATCCGTCGATCTGGCAGCCTGAATCGCCGACACATCTCCACCTGCCAAAGCAAGATTCTCACCAATAAGCCTCCCCGAGGGCAGGAGAATGGACCAGGTAACTCCTCAAGGCCCCACCCGCAAAGAAAGCTAGGCGCTTGCAACAGCTACCCAAACCGTCTGTCTGGTGTGACATGTTCCCGCACGTGCGTGACGCCTGATTGTTTCCCGACTACTTGCCATGAGCTGATAGACCAAGGGCCTTGTGCATGCAAATACGGTAATTACATTAGACTCCTAATCACTGCCTTGTTGGTTATTTAGATAATCTCTTGGAAGGGAGACCTTTGTTGGGGCATCAACATTGATTTCATTAGCATTATTACTTAAGACCACTTGCTTGCCTCACATAAGAGGATGTGAAATCAGACCACTAATTAACGAGATTGCAATTATTTCCCCCTACTTGGCACCAAAGTCACTCTAAACTGCAATTACCTGAAGCTCCATTAAGTGATACAAACGAGATTCCTTTACTACAATACCAACTTAACAGCTCATGAAGTTTTATGAGGTTTTTTTACTTAAGTAAAAAAGGAGAGAGAGAAAAAAAACTTTCTATATGCATTTCACATTTTTCAAAGCTCTTTGCAAAGCCATTTAGGTGTTTGTAACTTCACAATGATGCCCCCTTCCCACTGTCTTAAACAAACGTTGGCTTTGTGATGATTTGCTAATAAATGTGTACCACTAGGGTAGTAAAGAAAGCCATTCCTCACCTCCTGCCCTGCTGGGGTAAGGGCCAGTCTCCTTAAAAGGAGTAGATTCTTCATGTTAAAAATCCTGGAGAAAGTTTGAACTTGAAAATGAAACTTAGGAGCAAGTTTTTAGCGAAGGAAGCAGAATGGACTTTCCTCTGCCTAGGTCTCCATGAGAAGCCTTGACAGGTATGGGGTTATTCCCCAATGTAGGGAGAGGTGTGAGTCTTTGCTTCATGCAGAAAGTGCCGTGGCTACCCTGAAATTCATCCCAGGGAGCAGCCACGTCTTGCAAGCCTAATCTAACGATTCAATATTCATATCTGTATTTAAATTTCCTTATTTCCTTGCCAGAAAAAAATTCTAGCAAAATCTCATTTAATGTGTTCCAACCTATCCCAACTGTGCAGTGGTAAATTAAGGGAACGTGCTTGGCTGGAGCCGTTAAGAGGAAGCCAGCACAGTGGAGGCGACAGGAATGAGCGGGCTTCCACCCCCTCCACTTACAAGGGGAATGTGAACATCAAAAGACAAGATGTACGCAGAAGTCTCTGCCCAGGAGAGTTCTTCTGCCTGGCGACCTTGGCTTCATAAAGGTGACTGGTAGGCGGTGCTAACAACAGCGTTGCCCAAGTATATTTCACAGATTGCTAATTGGTTTTGCCTCAACACAGGGCTCTGTTTAGGAAACACTAGATCAACAAGAGTTTTACTGTTTTTTGTAGGACCTTCTCAGAACCTCTACTATGCTATGCTATGGTTCTCCAAAGGGAGGTGGTAGTCAATATTTCCCTCTTTCGGGGGGGGGGTGCCAAGGATAAGCACCGCATGAGATCACACCCTGGGAAGCATTATGTGACAGAATATTTAACAACTCTAACAGAAGATTTTTGGCTTGAGCACTGGTTAGTTCTTGGCCAGGAGTAAATGAAACTAAAAAAAATCAGTGGTAAAACATTCACTGAAATCCTGGCCAAGCTACTACAATATAAGCAGACTTTCAGTATAAGCGGAAGGGTCCTCTCCTCTATCACTGCTATCTCTAAGTGTCCATAAGACAGAGACTCCAGGCCAAATTCCGGTCCTGATCTGAGGCTGACAACTAAGATGAAGGGAGGGGACTGTAAAATCAGTTACTCCGTGACAAGGAGATAATCTGCTGACTTGAGAGAATCACAGGGCATATTAGCATGTTAGAGGCTCTGAGAAGTTCTACAAAAACAAACATCACAACTCTTGTTAACCTAGTGTTTCCCATATGGAATCCTCCTCTTAAACAAAGCCTTGCCCTTCTGTGCACTTTCGGTTCAGAATCAGGTCATCTTGTAATTCCAGCTCCTCACACCAGGCCTGGCTCAGGAAGCATTTGTTAAATAAATTGGTACCTGATTAAACTGATATATAAGTAATTTTCCTTTGAGTTGAAAGGATACTTTGAATGTGTTTTAGAAAGACACGTGGTCATCAAACCATACCACCTTCTTGCTATCTCCCCAGAACTGAAGGCTGAAACTGGCAGCAGGAGTGACTTACCAGAACCCAGCTCATCATACAGCAGGACAGCAGGCTCCCCGCAGATCTGGCTGCCAAAAAGACATCTTGCTTGGACAGTGAAAGTGTAATTGTGACCCATCTTCAGGTTGGAAATTTTAAAGAAATTGTCAGTAGTATTCCCAAGGTAAGCTGTGATATTCATGGCACTATCAAACATGCGTATCTCGTAACCCTGAAAACAAACATGAGAGATTGTTCAGAAAGTTGAAAAAGGAAAGTGACGGCCTCTGTTACTAATTTATGCAAGTTCCTTCTTACAGGCTGTCATGGATGCTAAAGCACTTTGGGTTTACATTATCATCTGTTCTCTTTACATTACCATTGAGATAATGGAAATTCTCCCTTCCCCAATATCTTAAATAACTACCAGGTCCCCTTATGAGCTGCACCCTGGAAATGAAAACTGTGGCCCTAAGGAAAGCCATTTTAACAAAGACACACTCAGAGTTCCGGTCAAGCAATATTAAATGCTACAAAGAATCTGGACAATGCAGCAATCATGTGCTGTGATGGGATTTGACCAGTAATAAAACCCGGCCACAGTGGACTCCAGCAATGGGGTAACAAGAAGGAACTTGCAATTAGAAAACAGGGCATTTCTCCTTAGAATAATATGCTGGAATACCATTATTGGTTCATTTCCTGTTTCCCTGTTTTCTAGCTCTTCCTGAGCTCACATCAGTCATCCACCAACCCGGCCTTGAACTAAGAATCACCTCAGGAGGTTCAGGCCCCTATTCACTGGAGGGGAGGGTGAAATAATCTTCCTACTTAGACTGTCTCAGGAAGAGTCCCAGACTTCCATGCTAGGAAAAGTCACCCTTGGGTCAAGCAATTCTCATGCAGAATGCTGGTGGAGGTTAGGGCTGACAGCTTCTCAGCAGATCCCCAAGTACTCTAGTATCAAAGCTACCAACATCCCCAGCCACCTCTGCAAAAAGACTCCATCCCTTATCTCTAGTCACATACGGGGACCCTTCGCATAATCATGTTCTCTTGGGTTCCACTATTCCCTGAACTCCAAGTCAGGGAGGGGAAGGACATGCTATGCCTATGTTAGAATCCTCTACTAGGAAGTGAATACTGACCTGTAACCCCACCCTAGAAGCTGGGCTTCTGCCACTAAAAAAGGGTCCTCTAATGGTGACTGGCTGCCAGACTGGACTTCCCAATACCTGCCTGGAATGCCAGCCTTGCATTCTTTTCTATAAACTAGCAATGATTATTTTCTATCTAATATATATTTGGTGTAGATTATTCATAAAATACATAAAGGTATAAAGAAGGCAATTTGAATCACACAAACATCGACCACCCGTAACTTATTTTTCCAGTCCTCTTCTGTTGGGTATTTAGGGCGCTTCCCCTTTCTTGTTGTCGAAAACACTGTACATAAATTATTTATGCACATTGCTTCCTTAGAGTAAAATCCTAGAATAATTGTTGGATCTAAGGGTGTGAACATTTATAACATTTTAAAATTTGTTTTATTTTTATTTTTGTATTTTTTTAAAGATGTGGGGTACAATTCAGGATTAAGTAGATGAGAAGTCAGCATACAGTGTAAAGTTTGGGCCGTCCTTTCGTTCGTACTTTGCCTGGTTTGAGATCAGGTACCCTTATTGACACTATGCCCCCATCCCACTCCAGACAGTTTCCGGCTACTGTCAATCCCTTTCTTATAGTATTATGACAACTGTTCAGGGTCTGATTATGAGTGAGAACATGGTACTCAGTTCTTCATTTCTGTGAAGATCACTGAGTATGATAGACTCGAAATCTCCCCAAGTTGCTATGAAATCCATAATTTTGTCCTTCTTTATGGTTGCATAATATTCCATTGTGTATATGTACCACATTTTTTTTAAACAACCGGTCCATTTTCAATGGGCAGCACAGTTGGTTCCATGTTTTTGATACGGAGAATAATGCTGCAATAAACATGCATGTGCAGGTATCTTTTTTGCAGGAATCTTTTTAACAGAATGATTTTGACTTCCTCATGATTCCTAAAAGATCTAAAAATTGACCTAACATATGACCCAACACTTTAATAGATATCACCCAAGAGCCTTAACAAAAGGTTGGGCCAATTTATATTCCCAGAGCCTTATTTCCCCAACTATTGCCCATACTGGTCACACTCTTTTTCTCAAAACTTTGCCAATTTAATGTGCCTTGCTATGTAGATTACTGGTGAGGTTGAACCTTTTTCCTTTTGCTTACTGCTGCTAGAATTTTTTACTCTGTACTTGTACCTTTTCAAAATTTGAATATTTGTTTTGAATTAATTTGTAAGTTTTCTTCGTATGTAAGGATACTGTTCATTTACATGTCATAGTTGTGAGAATTGTGGGAAGTCTCACAGAGTGAGTGGTGAGACTTCCCACAAATTTTAATCTTGCTTTGCTTCTGGCATCACACTGTGAATATTTAGAACTCTTAGGCTCTTCGCCTATGTTGTACCTCCAGGTAGCTATAGTTGATTCATCGTGTTCCTGTTTATTTAATGCTTTGCTGCCAATGGGACCAGCCCAGCCCTATTCAAGACTATCCCGGCAACCCCCTTGGGTCCCCTCCCACTCTGGGGGCTCTTCTATCCTCTCAATAAATCCTACTTTCAAAAAGGAAAAAAAAAAAAAAAAAGACTCTATCTGCCCTTGGGTGGCAACTCTATTCCCAGACTTGTCTCCTCCTATCTTCTCCTGTAAATATAGCAATGGCCTGCAAATAGCAATGCAAAACAACAGTGTTCTTCATAAGAAAGCAGAGTATCTTCCAGTACTTCTGGTTCCCTCTAACTTCTCTGGAAAGATGCTAGGTTAAGAATGCAGCTCAGTTCCCAGTACTGAAGCCACAGCCCAGCCCTTGGAGGGTGTGGAAAAGGCAGGGCTGAGCCCCAGACCAGCTGCAGGAGGCATAGAGGAGGCTCCAGCCCACTTCCCTTTCTTCAAGGGAAGACAAGTTCAAGATTGAAAAGTGCTTAGTGTAGAGATTCTCATCTCCAATGGGCAGTATAAACATTTCACTAATTAGCAATCCCACAGAAAATGGTCCTTGAATTCTCAAGTTCACTTCCATGCCCTATTCTTTTTCTTTCTTTTTTTTTTTTTTTTGCACTATCTATGCCAGCATGCTGTTAATGAGCCCATCTCTAAAATAGCATTTCAATTAAATTTCCAGAGTCATTGAGAATGAGGGAGGAACTTACCCTGCTTTCATTAAAATGTTTTTCCTTTAAAGCTAGACTTTTCCAAAACAGAAGAACATGGTCATTTTCTGTTATGATTTTTAAGGCATCAGGTGCTGATAATGAAACTGAAAATTAAAGAGGAGATGGGACACAGTTAGTGGATACACACTTGAACCTCCGTTTTCTTGTCTGTCAAAGGGAGATTAAATAATGCTAGCCATGGAGGGCTGGGTTAAGAAAAAAAAACACACTGTTTAGTACAGAGCCTAGCACATGGTAGATTCTCTTTAATTGGCATCTCTTTTGTTGTTGTTATAACACCTTTAGCCAAGAAATTCGGACAGTACCTAATTTAACAGCCTTTGAACTCAAGGGTGGACAAAACCAATTGGGTGGTATGGAAGAAATGGGATGGGATGAGGAGTTCTGCTGCAAGACAGGACACTGGACTGATCATGGAGCATGGCCCAGACTCACCATACACTACCAGCCTAAACACTACCAGCCTAAACATACACTGCTATCTGACAGACTGAGCTTATTACCTGCTTCATAAACTTGAGCCTGACTGTTCTTTAATCTACTGTCTTTCTCCATTCCACCATGTCAGATTGCACAATGAACCACTGAGAACCCTCAGTCAAGGTTCTCAGATACATTGCTTCATCTCTGTGGTAAATAGTTTTATTGCCCAACTCTCTTGGGCATTCCTCCTCTTCTTCCCCAGTAAAACATCAAAAGTTTAAAAAGAATTGGAAAATTAAGAAAATACAAAAAAACTCCCAAACCATCTATGCCCTGGCCACCACATGGCAGCCCAGATACCAGAACTCCTGTGTAACTCCACCCTAGTACAGCTATAAAGGGTGGTGTCTATACTTCCTGTTCATAGGAAATCCGTGTGTGGAGGGCTATCAGTGTAGCGCTGTGGGTGTTTGGCTGTGTGAAAAGGTCTCCAACCTCTCTCTCGCTTACCTGTGGTAATTTTTAGGCTGGAATCTTTGCTCATGTTTCCCAATTGGACAATGACATGGTATTTCCCTCCAGGTTCCAACTTATTGAGAGTATATTCCACAGTACTGTTGCGGGATTTGACTTTGTAGTTCCTGTCGGTCTTTCTTATTAGATCTTTAACTGCAATTGCGTACAGCTAGGACCAAAAAAAGGACACCTGAATGGTAATCAGAAACTCAACATTTTTTACTTCTCTTAGTTCAACGGTAAACAATGTAATACAGGATATCAGTGGTTGTGACCCATAACAGCCCTAAAGTCTGACTCTGTTTCTCGGAAAGCCTTCGGGGTGGCCAGGTCCAATCTTATAACAAGTATTTACTCATAAAATTACACACAGAATTATCAATTAGATCCTTAAAAACCCGTAGAGAAGGCCATATTTATTGTGGCATCGGCAACTAGGCTGGAACAAGCAAGAGCATCCAAATTCAGTATTCAACTTCTATGTCTCCACTACTGAAACAGTTCATGGATGTCAGCAGTAGAGAGAGGACGAACAAGAGGTGTTCCATCCTAACTCTAGAGGACAAAAAGCTTTACTTGCTTTCTTCCAGGTTGCTTCTTATGTATATGGGGGGTAAAGGGGAAATAAAAGCACACATAATAAGGACAGGAAACTCCATCCTCAGAAAGTTAAGTATTTAAAACCAACCACTCCTGGATGCAGAGGAGTGGAGAGGGAACAGAGGTAAAAGCAGCCCACAGCAAGGAAAAATGGCAGTTTTTTTCTAGAACCAATGTCCCTTGTTTTAAAGAAGAGGTCAATGAATTTTTATAAGGGTGCAGACAGTAAATAGTTTAGGCTTTGAGGACCAGATGGTTTCCACCAGAACTCTGCTGACCATAGCATGAAAGCAGTCATAGATAATATGTAAATAAACGGCTGTGGCTTGGTTCCAATAAAACTTTATTTAAAAAAACAACAGGAAATGGGCTGGATTTGGCATGCAGGCTTTCGTTTGCTCCCCCTGTTTCAAAGGGTCAGGGAAGGGAATGTGAGCAGCAGAGAAGAAAGAGGGATAAACCAATATGGCGGCTGGGAATAATAAAGTACCAACTAAGAACCCCATTTTTGGCCAGACAGAAAGCCAGAGAGACCTCCTGCTGAGCACCAACCACTAGGCCTGTGATTCTCACCCCAACCTAGGACTCCCTTGCATTCTATCCCACCCAAAACATACTAAGTATAACAAGGTGGCCCAGATGCCTAGTCTGCTCACCAAGTCCTGGTCAGGAGAGTCGTATGGTGACTCCCACTTGATGACAGCTGAGGTTTTGCCGATATGAACTGCGTGCAGGTGACGAGGTGGAAGCCTGCTGTCTGGGATCATCTTCACAACAACGTAGTCAGAGGATGGCCCTTGGTAGGGTATCACCACCCGGACCTAGGGTTCAAGCACACACATTAAAAGAAAATATTACCATGTGGGCTTATGCAAAATGGTGATATACAATTAAAATTCAATTCATACAAAAGATATAAAATAATTCCCCACCTGCCGCAGATCATTTTCCAAGAGATTCCACTGGCAATGGTTTGTTATGCTTCCTTCCAGAAATTCCCTATGCATATATAAGCATAGGCATGTATGTGTGTGTATAAAAGCATACATATATATGCATGTGTGTGTACACATGTGTGTATATGTAGCCTATTTTTCTTAAATTTTTTACACAACTGAGAAAACATTACACATATTATGTTCTTGACTTCTTTCACTTAATAATACAGCTTAGAGATTTTTCCATATCAGTCCATTTAGAAGAGTCGTATTTCTTCTGGATGGCTGCCCTGTGTTCCATTTGTATGGATAGGTCATAATATTTTTAACCAGTCCTTTCTTCATAGACATTTAAGTTGTTTCAGATCTTTGCTATCTCAAATAATAATGTACCAAACATCTTTTTCCATATATCCTGGCACACACATAAAAGCACACACCTAAAAGCACATAGGCTAAATGCCTAGAAGTGGAATCGTACAAAAGCTTTTGATTTGTCTAGACCTATGACCCATTTGCCAAGTTATCAATCCTTCATAATGGAAGTGCAGTTGGTTAAGTGGCTTTTCATTCTTCATTTCAAGCAAAAACCTGATGATGCTTATAAAGAAAAGGAACTTTCGTCTCTCACACACACATCAATCCTGGAATCCAGATGTCCCAGTTCCCCAGGTCCTGGGTTGAGTTCAGGAGCCCAAGACTTAAGAAATCCTTTAAAAAATAGAAACTCTTCTTGACTCTTTGGCACAGGAAACTTACCAGAAACAAATACTGCTCATCCCTACTGACAATGACTGTCTTGTTGTGGAGTGAAGTAGTCAAGCTCTTCGGGTTGCGATAGAGGTCAAGAAAGGATGTAGCGTAGAAAATGCCATAAACCTGTAAAAGCAGAGAATGGAAAAGCGCATCAACTCATGGGCCAATGACTTCATTTCCTTGAAATCCCCAATTTAAGACCCTGGAACTGCTTCAAAAGAGTTCAGAGAAAAGTCTTCATTCAACATTTATTACATTTACAGCACTTACAGAGAAGGCACTTGGACCAGGCCCTGTATGTACAGCTACAAAGATAAATATGATGTGGTCTCTCTCCTCAAAGAGCTCATTCTTGAGAAGACATGGGCAGAGGCAGAGAAGACAAACAGACATAATACAGACATAATTATAAATAACAAGTTTCAAACAGAGCGTTAGATACTACACTAGAAGGCCACACGATGAGGCAGAGAACAGAGGTACCCACCAAAGAGGAAGTGGTGTTCTATCACTAGCAGCATGTATGTGGGCACCAAGTGGGTGTGCTGCATAGTGGGAAGCCATAGGTGCTTGGAGAATGATCATGAGAATCTCAGGAAGTGTGTGGAGGGAGGGTAGGAGGGCAGACACTGTTAGCTGCCCAGCAGATACCTATTCTTGTTTCCTTCCTTAGTAGAACTCTGGTTCTTAGTGAGAAATGCCACCTGGAAAGAAATCTACATTTCCCTCTTCCCTGGAAGCTAGGAAAGGCTATGTGACAAACTTCCAGCCAATGAGACGTCGCAGAAGCGTCATATGGGAAACCCTAGGAGGGCCCATTACCAGGGAAAGACAAGCCCTTCCTGTTTAGAATTCAGATCATGGCTGCAGCTCCAGGAGGCTGTCTTGGACCATGAGATGACCTTGAAGATGAAAGCCACAGGTTGGTGATGGCAGGGCCTGAGTCACCGATCAAACTGTACTGCTGTGGTAGAAGCCCTGCACTGCTAAACTCCAAGCTTCTTTTAATTGCAAGAGAAATACGCTGTTTAAAGCCGCTGTACCCTTTAGTTCCTCTGTTATATGCAGGCTCTCTTCATCCTAACTTGTACACATTGGAAACTGAGAGAGTTTCAAGGGAAGTGGGAAGCTGATGAAGCTTACAGCAGGAAGTGGAAACTGAGGGAGATGATAATGACAGGGTAAGAGCTGAGCAAACATTCTTTATAAGATGGAATCAAAGAGCATTTTTTCCAAGAGGATTGAGCAGGTTTAAGATGGGAGCTTACAGAGAACTAAGCGAGGCTGGAGGAGAGGTAGAAATGAAGAGGGAACCGGGCAGGAATATGCAAAGGGACTTCCTGGACAACTATGTGATTTTCTCTAACACTACCCAGCACCAGGAAAAAGACTGGAGGAGGAGAGCACAGACAGGGAAAGACGAAGGGAGGCCCCGAAGAGGGTGATCACCTGGAAGGAGGTGAGGAAGAGACGAGCTGAGGGATTCAAAGGGGTCCAAAGGCAAATACAAACAGAAAAGTCATGGGGAACAAGGGAGCCACGAAGCATGAGATGGGACAGTGTGCCCAGAGTAGGGACTCAGAGCTCAGAAGCAAGATGATCTCACCGAGGATAAGGCCTGTGACTGCCCTGGGGTGGGGTGGCTCAGACAGGAAATGGGTCCACAGAGTCACAGAAGCCAAGGTGTGAGAGGTTGCCCACATGGACAGCACGATGGGATTCTTACAATAGAGAGGAAAACATGAGAGGGCCACCAGAGTCCTTGGTGAACTAGAAGGTAATCTCATTTGACCTCTCATCTCCAAAATCTGTGATGAGCATGTGACCTATGCATGAGCTTGGATGAGGCACCAGTAAGGCTACTCCAAGTTCACCCAAAGTTAAAGACCCTAAAATCGAGTCACATTCCAGTGTTCTGTGCATTATGCCCTACTCTTGGGAAACAGTTGGGTGGGACTAGGTGGCCATGCCCTGAGTTGGGTATATAAATGGAGACAAAGGTTCCTTTGTGAGTGCAGCCAACTTTAAGGTAAACAGGAATCCTGGGGATGACTCAAGGCTTCTCATCACCATTCCTGCCTCAGCATCAGGTGCTGGGGCTTGCCAAAGAGCTGTTAAATTAGCCAGACCTAAGTTCAAACTCAGTCTCCTGCTTACTGGAGCTTCAACTCTGGCAAGTTACCTAGTTTCACTGAGCCTTAGTTTTCTCACTGGTAAAACAGGAATATTTACCCCATAGAACCAATGAAAGGATTGAGTAGGAGAATGTGTTGCAAACCTTGTTTATTTCCCCCATGAATCAGCCCTGTGTCAATGCACACTGGACATATCCTCAGAAGACATGGGCTACTTCCTCCACTCATCACTAAGGACTTACTCAGTCCTGACTATAGATATAGTTCTATATGCTTCTCCATTTGGAAAACCCAGAAAACAATCCTTCCCTTCAAGCAACTTACAAACTAGTTAGAGAAATAGGAGGAACAGAAAGAAAATAACAAATAGGAAAAAGCCGTATCATATATAGATAGCACCAACCATAAATATTTTAGGAGCTCATAGAGAAAGGGATCATGTAGAAGGAAGGATGTGCTTGCATGGCAGAATGAGGGAAGGACTCTAGAAAGGAGAAAGAACATAAGGCAAGGTTCAGAGGCAAGGGGGGATGGGATCTGCCAAGAGCCTTGGGAAAACCAACCCAACAGCAAAGGAAGGCACACACTCGGGAGGAGTGGGAAGCAGACACCAGACTCAAAATGAAGCACCAAGCTCATCACAGTGAATTCAATGCATATATAAAAACAAAAGAAAAAGAAAGATGTCATACAAGTGCAGCAGGGGACACGTTTGGGAGCTCTGGTCCAAAAACGTAACCTTTGGTAGGAATGGGGGGGTCACAAAAGGTGGGAAGGGCCTAGAGGAGCCAGGGGCAAGGGACTTAGGTCAAGGCTCATTGTCATTGCTGCTGACTTCTCACCAAGTCCACAGTGAGTCCAAGGTAAGTTCCCAGGCACAGGAATATGCCACCCTCTACATGTCTGAGGTGTGAACAACAACAGACATCAGGGGGCACAATCACTCAGATGCCAGGGCAGATGCAGAAGGGGATGCTGGACTGGGATGTCACATGCTTCTGGAAGGTGATCCAGAACTGACCAACATGATAGGTAGCTTGTGCTTGGGGTGAGAAAGTAAGACGCAGCAACAAAAAAGCATCGGGGCTTTCTGGTGGCCTAGGATCAGGGGAGAGTCCACACTCACTTTACGATGGTCAGACTGACCGACTTACCACATTCCGGGGGCCAGTCCAGGTGCATTCCACTGCCGTCTGATTGATGGCCTTGGCTTTGAGGCTAGGAGCAGGTGGGCGAACCCCTCTGGTCATCACATGTTCAAATGTCAGAGGACTATCCCCTAAGTCAGTCTTGGCCCAGGCAGAAATCTCATAGGACGTATGAGCTGTCAGATTGCCAACTATGAAAACAGAGCAGTGAGATGCCAAGAGGAAGTTGAGCGATTTAATCAAGAATTTGTCTTGATACACACATCCTAATTTTTAAAAAATAATCTCTCAATTTAAGTGAGTCCCACACATTGTAGGACTCTCATTTATCCACTCAATGTTTATGTACTGATGACTACAACAGATAACACCCTGCATGGGCACTGGATAATATCTATAAAGCGGACCATGTAGGGGATATAAGTTGGTACAACACTCCTGGGTATAACAAGAGCCTTGAAAATCTTACCCTTCAATCCAGTTATTCCATGAAATCAGAGAGAGACGCAAAAATATGTGTGACAAGGATATCCGTTACAGTAGGAAAAAACTGAATATAATCTGATTGTCTGGTGACAGAACAATAATGAAGTAATGTGTATCCAACGGACTACTATGTAGACACTAAAAGTTGTTTCAAAGAATATTTAATGACACTGGAAAAGTCTCACAATTTTATGTTAAGTGAAAAGGGCAGGATACAAAGTATTTATAGCATTATCCTGATTTTAGAAAAAAAGATATAAAGAGATCAGTGCGTACAAAAAAATATTACAAGATACCTGAAATGTTACAGTGAAATTATAGGAAATTTTCATTTTCATTACACTTTTTTCCTTCCTAAATTTTCTGAAATAAACACATACCCCCTTTCTAATCAGGGGAAATGCTATTAAAACTAAAAGAAAAGTGAATAAAGAAGAGGATATGCTAGGAAGATAGCCTTTAGAATCAGAAGGACCAGAATTTAAGGTCTGACTCTACACTTTGTGGTTGTATAACCTTGGGTAAAGTATTTAAACTCTCTGTTTCCTTGTTTGTAAGATGGAGAAAAATAACAGCACTTAGAGCAGCTGGTTGTTGCAAGGATTAAAAAAGAAAATGCTTATAAAGTGCTTGGCATAATGCCTAGCATTGTGCTAGCCCTAATAGAGTTCAGGCAGCAGCTAATAAGACTTCTGTTCCTGACTCTCTGATTTCTGCTGGTGTGACATTGAGGTCGTGAGATCATAGGCTTTGGAATTGGAAAGATGTGGGTTTTAATCCTGGATCTGCCACCTGATGAAAGAATTATTTATTCTCTGAACTCCAGTTTCACCTCTGTAAGATGGGCATACTCCACAGAATTATTATTAGGGTTAGGTGAAAGAACACACACAGAATGCCTGGGTAAATGCCTGCACACAGTAGGCGCTCAGTGTTATTCTTATTCTTGTACAACCTCCTTAGACAAGTTACTTTAACTCTGTAGACCTTCAGTTAAAAAAAAAAAGATAATAATAGAATACACCATTTCTAGTTCATAAAGCTGTAATAAAGATAAAAAAAAAAACATGATTGAAAGTATTTTGCCAACAGGCTATAAGAGGGACCAAGGAAGAAGCTCCTTGTCATCCCCAACATTCAAAGGCAACTTTTGCTATTGAAGATTCTGCCTTAGAAATAAATTAAATTCTGTCCTTTAGTCCGTTTTCACATATAAGAATTTTAGTAGAGAATCGCTATTTGCACAGATTTAAGAGGGATTAAAACACGTTCTTCCTTAGTTTTATGCCCATTCATTCAATCAATAAATATGTACTAATGTCAGTTATGCACCAAGTCTTGTGCTACCTCTCATGAGCAATGGAGGAGTGAGCCACACTAGAAAAGAGAAGTCACTAAATCTAAGAACAATGTCTTTTGGAAATCAAAAATCATCTGCAGAGAGTCAATCTTGCCTCTTTCCCTTTTTTCCTCCTTCATGGCATCCAACTTTCATTAAGGGTCATCAGGTTAGAAGAGGCCTTGGGGAGCCACCGAATGAATTTCTCTACCTAGAGTCAGGAGCACATTTACAACATCCTCAATGGACAAAACCTGTCCACAAAGAATGGCTTCCAGATGTCCACAAACCTCCCTTCCCTGGTGCCCCCATCCAAGCTCTATTGCCAGAGAGCGTCGGTCCAATCTTGTTCCTTTCCTACTCACACACTGATCAGAGCTCCAGGTATTACCTTTGTGTGACAACACATTCCCTCGGAAGTTCAAAGTTCTCTTCTCTTGTTTATGGGAGTCAAATGCCCAGAAAAGGTTCACCACATAGCCATTTACCTGCCAAGATCCAAGAAACATATTAGTTGAACAGCTAACACAGTCATAGGGCACACTAAAACCAAAAGGCAGGAGTAAAAACAGTGTCATTTCCTTAGGTATCTTATTTCTTACAATGAACAGCTTGTTTCTTTTAATTCTAACACAAGTTCTATTTATGCTACCATTTAAGTTCCATTTAGTTATACTCCACCTACTTTTAAAAACAAATGTAAGAGCATTTACAATATATAGGTTCAATGAAACAAAAAAGTGAATGCAGAATAAAAGGGCAAGAACAAATTAATACAGGTGGAAAGAGGAAGACCTTTAAATATGGGACAACAAACAAAAATGTTTATAGGACCAAAGACTACAGACAAGGACCATATAAGGCCATTTCTTATATCAACTCACTCTGAAGCCAAGGACGTGATATGAAATTGTAGTTAAGTAAATGGCACCAAGACACTCAAGGTGGTTTGTCCCACCACAGTTTCGTGGATGAGGAGGGACGTGAGGAGGAACAAACAGACAAGAAGTACATTACAGAAAGTGGACCTCAACTTAAGAAGACACATGGACACATAATTATGGTGAAGTCGGCCATGCAGATGGGCCAAGCCGAGAGCACAATGGTGCTGGAAGAAGAGGATCTCAGGTGGGTATAAGGGGGGTGTGTTCCCAAGGTATTTGATTCTCTCACAAGAAGGTTGTTCTTCCACTGTGGGAACCTCAGCATTAGCGCTTAGCACCAGGAAATCCAATAAAGCTGAAAATTACAGGGCATACATATTCTGTTAACACCAACTCTTTATTTGCGCTGTAGCTGTGAACCATTTAATTATATGGTTAAAGAAAAAAAGGCACCAGGCTGAGGCAGAATAATTACATACGAAGACTCAAGTTGTTCTTTGTGGGGGAAGGAACCAACCTAGTTCTGGTATTTTAGCTTCACTGGGTCAAGTCATATGTTTTTCTCAGTCTTACTGTGCTGTGTCATATCAGTTCCCAAACAAAATAAAGCCTCATCCAGTTGCTAGTTTGAAATTTCCACATACCTTGATACCACTCTCCATGGTCAGGGTAAAGCTTAGAGAATTTTCACCATAGCTGTCAATGTGGATATCTGGTGGTGGGATCACTGAAAACAAAAAGGAATTCAAAAAGAGAAACCACACGATGAAAAGTGAGGAAGGCAGGACTTAACAGTTTTCAACTCAGCAGACAAAGCGATCTTTCAGTTGGGGAAGAAAGAGCATTTCTTTGGCGGTTTTCCTCGTCTATCTCTTTTACCACTGTTTTCTTGAAACTGAGGTTGAGCCCACAGTTGCTGGGTGAACACACAACTATCTTGGCTCAGTCAGCTCTCCTGGCAATTAGGTCAGGCAGAAAAGTTCCATTTTGTAAATGTCCCAAAACAGTACAGCTTCAGCCTCGTTCTTAAAGGTGCAGGGATCGCTGTTTGAACGGTAACTTTATCCACTCTAACCAAGTCCCAGCAGACTCAAGTCCTTTTCAAAAGCTGACAACAGGATAAATCATATATCACAAATGTATGAATGGTGAAATGAAGAGAAAGTGGCCCTGGAATCTGGCAAACTCAAGTATGAATTCCCATTCTGACAGCTGTGTAATCCTGGGGCAACTTACTTATCTTTCTTGGACCTAGAGATACTATCTACATTTCACAGAGCTGGGGACGTTAACTAAAATAACATACGTACCATGCCTAGCACTCAACTAATGTTTCTTTTCTTTCCCTTTCCAATAAAGTCTCAAGGTGGACTCAAGAACCAGTAGGTAACGAGTGTTCTTAAAAAGAACAGAGCTTAAGGTGAGAGTCTAGAAAACAAGGAGAGAGAGAGGCCAAGAGAAAAGACTCCTCTCATTTCAACATCTGAGCACCGTGCTTGTCATTTTGAAGATCTGTCCACCGGAACACAGATTAGCCTAGCATTAAGGGCTCAATGGGATCAATATTACCAGAAGGTATTATTTCAATGACAACTTGTATATTAGACTCTCTGCACATATGCCCCTTATACAAGCAAGGCAAGAGAGACTCAAAAGAGATGTGTCCATGTCTGGAGGAGTCCCTCCAGATGATCAGCCATGTAATAAAACTAGAGCTGAGGAGAATGCAATAACCAGAAGAGAAAAGATATTGGAAGCTTCTGGCAGTCAGCTCAGAGCAAAACAGTGCAGGTCCTACATATGGTAAAGCCAACCTGAATTATAACCATGGCAACCAGGGCCAGGTCACAATCCTCTCCAAACCTGTTTCCTCAGCTCCAAAATGAGAAGGACAATTATCTCATTTGGTTCATAAGTATTCATAAGAGATCAATTCATGTAAAACCACAGCACAGTGCCAAGTGCACAAGAAGCACTAAGTGAATGGTGGCTTTTCTCATCATCATTATTAATCCACTATGTTTACCAATTAACCTGGAGCCTGTGACTGACACCTCTGCTGTCTCTGTCCTTCATCTTCTTATGTTATTATGATACCAGGTCACAGATATTTCACAACAGACACTTCTTGGACACAACACAGTGGCCTTCTACACATACCCTAGCCAAAATATATGAGAAGCTGAGATTCATTAAAATCACAGAAAAGGAGTCTGACAGAAGCAACCACTCACTGAGATGTTCAAATACAGGAGTGACTTGTGCCCACATAATTCAAATATATGATTTTTTTTGACCTTTCAAAGTCTCTTCTTTTTAGTATGTATGGTGAGTGTGTTGACCCAGATTTTGCAGAGAGAAACGATAAAACAATAAAAACCCTAACTGGTAAATCAGAGAGTATAAATTCAGCATGCTCTAATATCTGCAATGCTTCAGCCCCAAAGACTGACTGGTGGCACTAAGTTTGGCTGCCATGTGCCCTGATCTCAGTGACTCCGGATTTTAAAGGCAACCAGATTGTGACTCTGTGACCCAGAGCCCATTCCTAACAGACTTGGGTTAAAGTAAAATTCCCCAATTATGTTCCATGCCCCAGTGCTCATATGGTTTTAATATTCCCAAGTTCAGAAATGAAAGTCTTCAGTGTCAATGCTAGGGTCAGGAAAACCACTCAGGAAGACGAGCTGTAGTCCACCTCCCAAATGTGCCAGAACCCTTTACTTAATTGCTTCATTTCACTCATTCACCAACTCTTTCTTTAGTTCCTACTAGATACCAGTGACAGAGTGGAGAAAACCAGACCAGACCTCTGCCCTTGTGAGGCATACATGCAAGATGATGAGCCACCCACCTCCAGCAAGCAGGGCAGTCCAGCGGGCTACATGTGTCTCAGCCCATGCGTGAGAGGGAAGCATTGGGCACAAAGGTTAAGAGCACAGGCTTTGGAGTCAGGCAGATCAGGATCTAGTCCCAGCTCTGTCACTTACTGATTGTGTGGCTTGGGGCAAGTGACATAACCTGTTTCTAGTTCCTCACCTGTTCTTGTACCTGTTTTGATAGTTCAATCAGATGAGCAGATATATGAAAAGCAGTAAGCACTAGTGTCCAGCCCTCAGTAAGCCATCATTAATAACTAATATCACCTCTAGTATGGGAAAAAAAACAACCCACCTACACATAGTGTATTGGTGCCCTGGGGGAAGTAACAAGTGTCAGCATGGTGCTTTCTTTAAAAATACCATAGGCCAGGTGCGACAGCTCAAGCCTGTAATCGCATCACTTTGGGAGGCCAAGGTGAAGGGGTTGCCTGAGCCCATGGGTTCAAGAACAGCCTGGGCAATTTGGCAAGACCTCATCTCTACAAGAGATCAAAAAATTAGCCGGGTGTGGTAGCACACACCTGTAGTTCTGGCTACTTGGAAGGGTCAGCCGGAAGGATCGCCTGAGCCCAGCAGGTCAAAACTGGGGCGGCTGTGAGCATGCCACTCCAGCCTGGGCGACGGAATGAGACTACAACTCAAAAAAAAAAAAACAAACCATAAAAATGAACATGCACAAAATCATCTTCAACTTCAGTAAGAGGGAAGGACTCCTTCTATTTTACATATTATGCATGCTCACAAAGGGATGGGCACAATGGCCCTTAGAAATCTGTGTGTCTGCATTATAAAAAATGCTCAATTCTGCTGGGCACAGTGGCTCATACCTGGAATCCCAGACTTTGGCAGGCGAAGGTGAAAGGACTGCCTGAACCCAGGAGTTTGAGACCAGCCTGGACAACATAGCAAGACCTCATCTCTACCACAAAAAAAAATTAGCCAGGCATGATGGTATGCACCTGTAGTCCCAGCTACTCAGGAGGTAGAGGTGGAAGGACTGCCTGAGCCCAGGAGGCCAAGGCAGCGGGGAGCCATGATCATGCCCCTATATACTCTCTAGGCAATAGGGTGAGACACTGACTCAAAAAAAAAAAAAACTCAACTGTAGAAGGAGGAATACACTTAACAGTGACCCCCCAATAGACTTTGTATCTAACGTACTGCAGAGACACCCAGAAGCAGGGAGAAGGAAGTTGTATGAAGCTTTCGAATCCATGTTTCTCCATTTTCCAGTCATATTGAAAGTTATTTCCAAAGAGTTTTTATCTCCTCTGAAATCTGCAAATGCTGGAATCATTTACCTTTTCCTTTTACGGTGGTAATGCATTTAGAATCGCTCCAGTTTCCTATTCCACGACTAGTCACCGCAGCCACCTTTTCAAATCAGAGTGTGGATTAGTATGAAATAAAGGCAATATACCATACAGCAAGAACTCTGAATGAGCTACAGGGGTGAGATTTTGGCAATGAGGGTAGAAAAATTATACACAGAGTGATCCAGAATATTCAGAGACACCTCACAACTGAAATAACATGAGAAAAAGACAAAGGGAAGGAGCTTGTGTAAAGGAAATTATGATCACCCAGAGACCACAGAATTTCCATTGATTGAAGTCATCAAAGTTCTTATGTATGATCATACACACACACACACACACACACACACAAAGGGCACTGAGGAAATCATCGGTGTAAGGGAGTCTCTGGAGTATGCACATTTAATGATCTCAAACATGTTTTGCACAAAACCTATCTTCACTCTGTTAAAAATATTAACAATATATTTCATAAGAACCTCACAGCCAGGCTCGGTGGCTCAGCCTGTAATCCCACACTTTGGGAGGCTGAGGTGAGTGGACTGCCTGAGCCCACGGGTTCGAGACCCACCTAGGCAACTTGGTGAAATCTCATCTCTACAATAAATCAAAAAATTAGCCGGGCATGGTGGCACATGCCTGTAGTTCTGGCTACTTGGAAGGCTGAGGCAGAAGGATTGCCAGAGCTCAGCAGGTCGAGGCTACGGTGGCCAGGAGTGGCCACTGCACTCCAGTTTGGGCGAGAGAGTGAGACTTCAACTCAAAAAAAAAAAAGAACCTCACAAAACCAATTTCTAAATATGACATGGTTCTGCATCACTCTGAAGCTATAAATAAGCAGAAAAGAGGTAGGTGCCAAAGGACAGGAGCTGAAAAGCTAGCAGAATATCCACGTTAAAAGCAGGTAAAGCTGCATGACAATACACTCTATGGGTTATCTATGGGAAGTCTGATTTCAAGCTCTCTGTGGTATCAATTTAAGAGACTGAAAGAAACCATGATACCCCCCCCACCTCAGGGCAAGAAGTTTGGTATTTTGCAGACTACTAATATGCATCTCATAAAGGTAAACATGAAGTTCTCACGAAATCACCACTTTGCTAAGTTCTAACATGGTACAGGTGGCTGGAACAGACATTAACACTCACTCTGACAGTATATGGAGTGTTGATCAATAAGTCCTTTATTTCTGTGAAGTTACCAGCAGCCCTCTGGGAGGCCCACATCCTAGAACCACTCCTGCTGTATTCTACCTAAAGTAAGAAGAAAAAGTAGGAGTAAAAGTAATCAAAGGTCTGATATCTTGCAAGGAATTAAGAAATGTTCTAACAGATGGGTCATTATCTACAAAGCTATGCCAAATCAACTCCTAGTCATACAGAACAGTGGGGAATCTCCTAGACCCCAGACACACACCAGCTCCTGGAGGATACTTACAATGTACTCACGAATGAGGCCATGGGTGTGGATGGGAGGAGTCCAGTGGCCCACAATCACACCTTCTGCTTCCCTATGGAGTGACAGCTGGAGATTTCGAGGGGCATCAGGCACTAGAAAAGAGTCAACTCAAAATTAAAACCTACTTGCATAGTGGTCAACCAGAGGAATTTTCCTGAGCTTAAAAGAAAGACAAGAAAGAATCCAGAGTCAGCATCAGGACCTATCCACTACAAAGGCTGCTAGTTTGGTTTTCACATTGACAACACACCTTTCCTCTTCTTCCAGAAAGCAAGGTTTGCTGTCCACACACCAGGTCATGGGTCAGTAGAGCATGATGTAAATGTGTGACTCAAGAGGGCTGCAGTATAGAGTCACTTGGGCAGGCTGAGTCACCAGTGACCCCGGGACTTCTATGCTGAGATCTTAATTGCCAACAACAGCACCTGCTGCCTTGGCTTCTTATACAACAAAACAGAGTACCACAGCCATGACTACCAAAAAATAAGACTAATTTTCTAACATCACAGAAATTCTACATCCAAATGAATGTGATCACATTCGAAGCAGGTTCTGTAATGAGTTTAGTGCTAGCATAGTCAAGGTACTTCAGGCCATGGAAAAGATGATATTCTAGCAGACAGCTGCCCCCATCAGCTACTTTGAAGGGGGTAAGAAGCAGGAAACTCTCTTAGACATGAATTTAGTAAATTTCTTTGAAAAGCTAAGCCACAAAACTGCTGATATCCTTCATACTTTAGTGATGATGACCTCAAAAGTACCAAGTCTTGGGAAATGCAAAATAGGGCAGCGATGAAGACAAACTGGAATTAACTTCTTAAGGTTCAAGAATATGCTCTGTTGCAATAAGGAAAATAAATGTTCAACAACTCCAGCAAGGCCACAAAGCTTAGCCATAATACCCCTGTACATGGAAGACACATATAAGTAGGTTCCCACCCTCCTGAGCAGCCTTGGAAGGACTCTCTCAAAACCCCACATGCCATAAAAATGAACTATTAACACTTACATCCTTCTGGAGTCCTCAGGGTCACAAAGTCATTGGTGTTGTGTGCCTTGCTCAGACACTGAACCTGTACTTTAACCTGATATGTGGTGTCTGGTTTCAAGACTTTTAACACAGTGTTTGTTTTATTGCTGTGGGTCTCTAGAGTCTTCCATATGCTTTCTCCAACCACCCTGGCCAAGAGAATACAGAGATTGTCACCTTGGAGCAGCAAGGGGGGCTGACATACATGCCTCAGCTAATAGTCATGGCACACACACCACAGGTGAGTTCACAGAACACCCAGTAGCAATGAAGATGGGACCCACCTGTAGTAAATGTTATATACACAGGAAGCAGAGGGCATTTTTTTGGGCCGTGTCCAGGTCAAAGTTACATCCCCAGAGAAGTCAGCCGTCCACTGAAGATTCTGTACTTTGTATACAGTTAACTCATCTAGAGAGATAAAGGGGGAGGTCAAAGGAAGTTATATCTTACAAATCTTTGGATTTCAAAGGACTCAAGAGGTCTCTTGCTTTTAAACAGAACTACCATGGCCTAGACTGCCAGGAGGCCATAAACATGGCCCCAGGAAATGTAGTGGAAACTTCCCTATACAATCTTTCCCAGGGTCTCCTACATTTCCACTTGTGACAGTTCTCCTTGCATTTCACCTCCTTTGTGCCTATGGCAATTTAAGCTGGTTTCTCAATAGAAAATGTTCCAAGTTCAAGGACAACAACATAGCAGAATCCTTACTAAACGCACCTCAGAGACAAGGACTGAGTTCACCCTGCCAGCAGCCTGAGGCCCTGAGAGAGCCATGGAGCATCAGCATGAGGTGAGAAGTTCATCAAAAACCAATCTCAGACCAGCATTTCACTAACAGGCAGGAGGTAGCTGAAAATCATCTCGGGGTCTGCCCAAGCCTCATCTCACTTGAGGCTCCAAAATTAGCCACAGATCCATTTAATTTTCAGATTGAGGGAAAGTTCAAAAGGGTCCTTGCCAGAGACCTACACAAGGGGACTCAAAATGAGCCTTGGGATAAAAAAGTCACCCAGCCCTAACACGCCAGCGGGCTGGCACTTACCACTGCAGGTCTTCTCATCACTCTCGTCTGAGCAGTCTAGGAAGCCGTCGCAGCGCTCTGAGAGCACGATGCAGGCCTCGCCATCCTCGCACTTGAACTCCCTGCTCACACAGGTCAAAGTGCTGTGCGTGGCTGAAACACAAGGAGCCTTCTTAAACCCACAGGAGAGGGGCCATGTGGCACTAAAGGCTGGGTCCAGGTTTACTTGGGTTTGGGAAAAGTGGTTTGAATTCTATAAGCTAATCGGCTTCTGCTTCAAAACACATCTCTGGAATGAAGAGTTGTAGAACTCACACTGGCACTGTGGTACCATCTTATTTAACATTAACAACTTCAGGAAGAGTAAGTGCTTTGGAGTCAAACAAATCCCGGCTCTGTCAGCTTGGGCAAACTGCTTAATATCACCCAAGTTCAGTTCTCCTATAAAAATTGGGGTAACAATTCAATCACTATTGTATCTGCAAGGATCCAATGAGCTCAAGCACCTGGAATAGTGCCTGGCTTCTGGCAGGCACCAACAAATTGTAGCTATTACTCTTCAGTACATAAGCTATTATTAGTTTGCAGTCTAGAATGACAAGCTGATTTCTGGGTTGAGGAAAATAATAATGAAATGAATCACTCATATTAAGAGACATGCCCATTTTATGTAGTAGTTTTAATAGTTCAGATTCTTAAAGTTTTTCCACAGAAAATGAAAGAACGCATTGGGTAAGTTAAGGGCTATGCAAATCCATGGCTAGGCTATGAACTGAAATGTTCTCTCCAGTTCTGAAAGCAGTGCCTGTAGAAACCAAATCTGCTGCCCAGGACAGTCTGGGTGGGCCCAGCTAAAGGTGCTTCAGGCCTTCATCACACAGACTCACACCAGCCCAGTTCTGGACAATTAGGGCTACATCAGAAACCTGATCCTGCTGGTGAGGAGTGTCTAAAATTAATCTTACTCCTCCAAGCCAAAGATGTCCACATCCTAATCCCTGGGACCTGTTACTAGGTTACCTTACAGGCAAAAGGGACTTTGCAGATACAATTAAATTAAGGACTTTGAGGCAGGGAGTTTAGCCTGGATTATCCAGGTGGGTCCAATCTAATCACACCGATCCTTAGAAGTGGAGGCCCTTTTTCGGCTTTGGTCAGAGAGTGACATAACAACTGAAGAAGGATAAGAGAGATGTGATGCTACTGGCTTTGAAAATGGAGCCAGAAACGTGAGTGGCCTCTAGAAGCTGGAAAAAACAAACAAAAACAAGATTCTCCCCTAGAGTCTCCGGAGGAACTAGCCCTGCACAAGCTTTAGTTTCAGCCCAGTTGAGACCTGGGCCAGAATTCTAACCTTCAGAACTGTAAGAAAACAAATGTGTGTTGTTTCAAGACACTTAGTTTGTGGTCACTTGTTATAGTGATCATTAAAAAAAAACCTAACACACACCCTAAACTCTGTATTTGTCCAGATCTTATGTTGGGGCGTCTACCTTAATTTCCTGGATTCAAACTATGTCTCCATTGGTATTCCGGAATGAAACCCCTCCTAGCTCTTGCTTCCCAAATACACAAATTTGGACAAATACACATAATTCCCCATATGATAACTACATTATTTTAAAGAAAGTCAAAATATTTCACCTCAAAATACACTCCTTTGACATATTTCAAGATGGCAATTAGGGACTGGAAATGCAAAAATAGCAGCAAAGCTGTCTTCTGTAGGAAAATCTGAATCTGTAGAGAAAACCTGCAATGACGCAGCCAGGCATTCTCTGAAGCCCTCCCTGTCCAGGTTTAGGAAAGACTGTCTGAGAGTCTGACACCTTTAAAGGTCTGAAAGAAACATTCACCATTTATACTTTCTGAGAACTGCGACCTATAAGATTTTATCTACATAACAAGTCCTCCTCCTAAGCTGTCTTGCTACCACAACCTGATTTACTGTTTTGGGCCATGCACTGAGCTCTCAGTCTTTCTATAACCTCAAGATGGTAAAAAAAACATCAGCCATCTGGTCATTTCTTTGAGTTCTGATATTTTGTAAGACTCCTGTGCCTTTTCTTTGATTAATCTGCCCTTTGTCAGTTGATTTTTTTCAACATATCTTCAGAGGGGAAAGGGGAAGTTTTCCCCTGGCCCCTACATTTCCTATCAACATTATGGACCATGCATGAACCTGTGAACTGAGAAATCAAAATAGATCCCCCTTTATCAACTGAGAAGTTTGAGGTTTCTTCATAAAACGTGTCTCGAAATTTGAAAAACAGAAAAAAAATATAGGTTTTAGAATCTGAGAATAGAGTTGTCACTAATCTCAGAAAATTCTTAAACTGATTATTAACAGATGATTAATGGGTACTTAGAACAGAATGTAGCAGCCTTCAGGGGCCAACTTTTCTAAGAAGAATCATGTCACACTAATCACATTTCATTTTTTGATAAGGTTATCAAATTAATGTGAAAAAACTGTGGATATAGCACATCTTGATTTTAAGAACCTTAACTAAGCAACATCCTTGTGAATAAAACAGGCTGAAAATACCAATCTAAAGAACGCCAATTAATGAATTAATATCACTCAGGAGGGAGGTCCCATTTCTTTTCCTCTTTGTTAATTATCTTTAATGTTCATCTTATTATGTGGTTGCTTATTTGGCTCAGATGTTCCCACTGCTATTATAGGATGTGTGGGGTCAACCTGCCCTGTTATTTTAACACCCCAGGGGTCCACTTTGTTCATTCTTTTAACATAAGTGTAGAATGGTACGCTAATCCCTATTCAATTTCTCTGTGTTCATTTTGGTGTATTCCTCCCTCATGTCATAACTTTGAATATGACATGATGGAAAGATCACAACTCTGTCCAAAAGAAACCTAAATAAATACCCCAGTCTGTTATTGACTACATTATCTTCTCAGAACCTTTATTTTCCTATCTCTAAAATGGATATAATACCAAAATCACAGTCATGGTTATTTTGGGAAATGAATGAAATGAATACATAATTTACTTGAGAGTAATGAATGGCCCATTCAAACCCAGCACCAAATGTTAGTTTCCCTTTGCAAATTCTGATTATTTTACCAGAAAATAAGGTATCTTTTCAACTTTGCATAACTTGCAGATATTACTCTCATGCCTTCCAAGTTTTTCACCTAAGTCATTAGTGACATTTTAAACAAGATAGGACCACTTAAAAAGCATCAGAAAAATATCACAATAGTAAATATAAGGAGTAAAATAGAAGCAGCCTGAAGAAGACTGCTTATGATAAAGCAAAGAGAAAAATAAAACATCCAAAAAGAGCAAAAAAAAAAGGCATAATCACAAAAGAAATATAGAAGGCAAGAGAATGAGAAGGGTATATCTGTGAGGCTTATCAAAGGCTGCAGCACCCTGCTAAACACTAAAGAGTTTAAAACAAAAATAAAACACTGGGAGAAATAATGATATTGAAGACAAACTCATCAGCAAATTCAAAACATATAATAACGCAAACAAAACTTATTAATTTGAAAATAAATGAAAAAGCTCAACTTAACAAATTATAAAAGTAACACAGAAGTGAGAACGAGATGTAATATGGAAATGTTAACCAAGAAAAATAAAACTATTCCTTGCTATTTGAATTTACTTAGTTTATTTATATGGATTTATTTCTTTATTTGTATGGATTTACATACAAGTATCAGGAGACACCAAATTACCAATAAGTAGCAAGTACTTGATAAAAAAGAATTCATCCCCCCAAATACATCTGAAACTACTCAATTCCTGAGTTCTAGTAGGAATAGTTTAGTAATGAAGGATTCCTTACAAGTCTCCTAAACTAAACAACAACAACAACAAAAAGCAAACAAAGCACAAATGAAAAATCACCCTAGCTTGGAAATTGAAGAAATGGAAAGATTCAAAGCACATTTCTTGAAAAGCCCCTAGGTGGCAACTTATCAAATTCCCTGACGTTTAGACAAAGATAGGATCCCACAGACAGCCAAAACAAAAGCAGAAGTGACATTCACGAAGATGAAAGGATACATGAGCCATGGGGATCCCGGGACCCCTGCAGAAGTGTTCGGAGAAAAACCTATGCAATGTGAAAATAAATGAGTTACATATTTCAAGTTAAGGACTTGGCCAACGTGATTTGTCTCTCAAGTCAGAGAATACTGAGGCCTAAAGGACTCACTAAAACTTGCCTCCAAAACCCTATAACTATAGAGATCATCACAAAGAACAATGGAAGTGCAAAAATTCACAGAGGATTCTCGTGAGCGCTTAAGTGGGGATGATCACAGGACAACTAATGTTATACAATGAAAAAGAAGAAAATGCCTCCTACAGTTTCTGATCTCCCCTTTACCTTTCTACCAGGATGTCTCACACCCCCTTAGACACTAATGTCAGTCAAGGAACCCATCACCACCGTCCCTAGCCCCACCCAGGGACACCTGCACGTCCTCATGCTCAGCAGTCCCCACCTTGGCTGGCAGCATCAGCCTTCGCCTAGTCATCCTCAAGAAAAAATCTCATTCTTCCTTCTTCCTGATCCCCACCCCCCCACCCTGGGCCAAAAAACTCACTGCTTGCTATTAACGTTACTTCCAATATTCCGAGAGGCTGTTTTTTCCTTTTCACCTTCACAGTCCCATCATATTAGCCTCCTAACTGGCACCTGGCCTCCAAATTTACCTCACCCATTCCTCACCATGATGAAGTGCAAGTGATCTTAGACATAAACACTCCTTCCCTAAAATCTTCAATGGCTCGCTATGACCAGAAGGATAAAGTTTAAGTACAGTGGCTGCCCTACTCATGTCCCCTGCCTTCCTCTCTACACCCACCTTTGCCCCATCCATCACTCTACAGGGCTGTTATCCTCTTTTTTTTTTTTTTTTTTGAGTTGGAGTCTCACTGTCGCCCAGACTGGAGTGCAGTGGCCACTCCCGGCCACCGCAGCCTTGACCTGCTGGGCTGCGGCGATCTTCCGCCTCAGCCTTCCGAGTAGCTGGAACTATAGGCACACACTATCACGCCCGGCTAATTTTTTTGGTTTATTGTAGAGATGAGGTCTCGCCTGCCCAGGCAGGTCTTGAACCCGCGGGCTCAGGCAATCCACTCTCCTCAGCCTCCCAAAGGTGCGGGATTACAGGCTGAGCCACCAAGCCCAGCTTACAGGGCTGTTTCCTTATGCCTCTGAGCCTTGGGGTGAATACACTATCCCCTGTGCCTAAGATGCCCATCTTCTACCACCAGTCCCACCATTCTCCACTAAAACTCTCTTGGGCATCATTACCTGGAATGCCTCTCCTGACCTGCTGCCACCTCTTCAGAAAGTTGGCCAGGTCCACCTCCCAACTATGTTCATTTCTTGGACAGACTTCTGTTACTGCCTACACTGTACCACAGCATAGCTGCAGATTCGAAGTTTCTTCCACTAGAATTTGTATTCCCAGCAACCTGATCGATGCTGCCACATCCTGCGTGGTCAACAAAAATGTGTCCAACTGGATTGAAGCTGTTACTGGTCGTATACCCTTTCCTCTTACCCAAGACACTCCAGGGAGAGTCCAGTGAGGGGCCCTGTGGAGAAATATGCTACAGACAGAGAAGAGACAGCTGATTCTCCTCTTCCCTTTCTCCCTGATCCTTACTAGGTGAAATATTAAGGACAGAGCAGTGTTTGCCAAACTTGTCTGATGCTAAGAATCAGAGCCTTTTTTAAAAAAAAAAATGTATGGATTCCCAAGCACTCCCTCCCCCACTGCGCTTCATTCAGTGGTCTCAGATGAAATCAACAAATGTATATTCTTTATAAGCACTTCCCACGTGATCCTGCTAAATCACATAAATTTTGGTAATACTGAATTAGAGAAATTAAGAGATGACTAACCTTCTCTTCCTTAGATTCCATTCCATCTATAAATGGTAGGATTCAGTAAGGTTCCACATGAGGCTCAGTTTTTATTTAAGAAGTCTTTATTTTAAGAGAGAAAAAGACCAAAACAGGGACCAAAGAAGAGGAATTGAGGCTCAAGACTGGAGTAGGCTTTCAGCAGAAATGAAAGAGACTCTGCCACTTTCTTCTACATTTACCAGGAAAGAAATCAGACAAGCATGGAAGAAACTCTCTTCCTGGCAATGAAGAGAAGGTGACTGGCTAGAACACTGGCCATCTGAAGTCAGTAGGTGAATGGATAGAGGGGAGACCCTCAAAGTAGGGAGCCCTGGCCAGAGCAGCAGCCCACCACCAGAAAGTAGTGCCGATCAGCCAGAAGGGGGCCATAGTTAGTGCAGCCAGAGAGCAGCAAACACTGACTGGTCACAGGAGATCAAAAAATACCTGACCTCATCTCTGTGCTCTAGCCCCCAGGTCACCTGCTTTCACTCCCTGCCTCATCAGAGCCACTCCATAGTCCATCCCCTCTGACCAGACACAGCTTGAAAAAGTCAGTGACTCTTTCATCATCTCCATTGCCTCCAAAGACCCTCCTGGGAACATGAGAGAAGCAAGCACCAGGACCCACTGTGTTTGAACAGTACCAACTCCGAACATGTATAGAATGCACGTATCATTTTGTGCCGGGCTCAGATTGCTTTGTCGACATTCACCATGTGGTTTAGGGCAATTATCCTAAGAGCTGAGAGTGACTTTTCCTAATGGGGTGCTGGGAGTGATCCCTCTAATAACATGGTTACTATGCCCAGTAGGTGCTCACTAAATACTTCCAGAAGAATGAGCATGTATGCAGAGGGTTATGGCTTTACCTACAAGGGTTTTAAAGAGTTAAACATGTTTACAAAACCTTTGAAAGATATTTTTCTCAGTCATTCTGAAAGTGTTTTTATTGAACACTTTATTTGCTCCTGGTATTTAACACCCAGCCGACTCATTAAAAAGGTGACGATCACAATGACATGGCTTCATGCAGCAAAGCCCTGTGGTGGCTAGAGTCAAAACATATTACACAAAAGTGCAGACTCACACATGTGGGTGGGTGTGAATCCAGAAATGAGGTGCAAGCAACGGGAGAGCATTCCTCTGGAAACTGGCCGGGTGGGGGAATGAGTGCCCTCTGACTACTCACGGCAGTTGGCCTCGTCCCGGCCATCCTGACAATCTCGGTGGCCATCGCAGCGCTTCCAGTTGGGGATACACTTCTTTGGTTGGTGGCACTCGAACTCAAATCGGTCGCATCGCCCAAGCTGAGTGGGAGTGGAGGCGGCAGTGCCATTTGCTAAGATAAAAGATTTTTAAAGTTAACTCATTAGTATGGAGGGAGCTGGCCAATAACAGCCAATCAATCAATATGCTAGGAGACTACAGTGCTTGAGGTATTACGGGGAGGACCTGAGGACAAATGTAAACTCTGGACATACAGCAGAGTAGACAAGGACATCTCATTTTGCTTGCCCATAGGACCCCACTAAAGTCACAGCTAAGAGATTGTCTTTAAAGACCTCAACCCACAAGGACATGGATATAGAAAATGAGGCAAAAGAAGCAATATCTGGGGAGCTGGAAAGCAGACAGACAGCGGTATATGACTCAAGAGACCAGAGATGACTGTATCTCACCCTAAGCTGTCAGAGGAGAAAGCTAAGAACTAACCAGATCAATATCCCACAATTCTCAAAAAGCTCAGAAACTGGTATCTCTTAACTAGTAGTAAAGATGGAGAACGTAAAATAAAGGAACAGGCTGGGCTCGGTGGCTCAAGCCTGTAATCCCAACACTCTGAGAGGCTGAGGTGAGAGGATTACCTGAGCCCAGGGGATTACCTGAGCCCAGGGTTGGAGACCAGCTTGGGCAACTTGGAGAGACCTCAACTTGACAATAAATCAAAAAAATTAGCATGGGGTATGGTAGCATGTGCCTGTAGGTCCAGCTACTTGGAAGGCTGAGGCAGAAGGATCGCCAGCCCAACAGGTCAAGGCTGCGGTGGCCGTGAGCGTGCCACTGCACTCCAGCCTAGGCGACAGAGGGAGACTCCGACTCAAAAAAATAAAATAAAATAAAGGAACAGACTAAATCATGTTTAAGAAGTAACTACATTCTCTACATCCCTTCCCCTACCAGCCCCGTGAGACACCACCCTGCACATTGCCCCAGGAGAAGACTGGAGGGTTGTTATTTGGAGAGAGCAAAAACAAAGGGCTGTTTACACTGACAAACTTGAGAGCAAAACTGTCCTACATCAGTAGGATTAAACCTACAGATAGCTAAATGTGAGAACCCTACCACTGAGACTGTTATTGTCTAGGCAGGAGACTGTAAGAATCTCCGCTGGGGAAAATGATCTGCCTCAGAGACTAACCAGGAAGTAACCAAGATCAAGAGTTCTTCCATGGTTCCCAGTCACAGAACACAAAGTTGACAAGCCCACCCACGTGTTCAGAATTGCTTGGTAACATGTAAGTCCCCAACCTTAAACACAAGCAGCAACTGGGGATTACCTGAGGGAAACTTTTAATGTGAAAGATAAAAACCAAAACAGAGCTTCCCACACCTCCCCAAAAAGGCATTTGGAAAAAACAGAGACAATGCAAAAAGGAAATTTCAAAAACATATATTGTTAATCTGCCCAGAAGAAAGGATATATATTTATTCATTAAAAAATAATAGGATGCCATTTTAAAAATCACTTAAAGTTGAAACCATGATAATAGAAAAGAAAAATTCAATAAAGAATTAGAAGATAAAGTAGGAAAAAATAAAATTTAAAAAAAATTTTTAAAGATGATTTTTTTTTTAAGTAAGAGGGTCAGATCAGGAGATCCAATATAGGAATGATAACAGTCCTCCTTGGAAGAAAAAGACAACAGGGAAAAAAATATCAATACAATATTTCAAGAAAAATTCCTTGAACTAAAATATATAAATTTTCATGATAAAAAAGACTATGCATGCCCATCACATTGGATGGAAAGGGTCTCATATAAATCACATCATTGCAAAATTTCAAAACTCTATAACCAAAGGGAAGATTCCACAAGCTTCAAGAGAGTTAGAAACAGGTTATATACAAAAAAAAAAAAAAAATCAGAATCAAAATGGCTTTGGATTTCCCAAAAACTGCTCAAAGGCATGCCTTCAAAGTTCTGAAAGGTAATTATTTACAATTCAGCATTCCAAATCCAGCCAAACCATCAATCAAGTCTGAAGATAAAATAAAAACAAAAAGGGGAAGTATTAACTTTAGGAATTGTGGGTATGCCACAGTTTTAACTGGATTTTCAAAAAGGTCTTTCCCAAGCCCCGGTTCCACTCTGCTGAAACACAAGGTATAGCAGAAAAGTGATTTTTTAAAAAGAGAGAGGAGAAGGCCAGGCCAAGGCAAATCATGTCACTTATTCCTGGACAACAAGGGGCCATCAGGAGTGCGGAGGCTGTGATCACACATCAATATATGGCTCATTAGACCAGCAACTGAAAAGGGGAGGGAAACCAGTTAGAAAACTTCTGGACTGAAGAAACAAGATCCAAGAAGTAGAAATGACAACCAGCTTAAATTTGTACCCACACTGCACACAAGGAAAGGACCAAATCTGAATGGGATATGTAAACAGAGATTTGTTCATTGAATTAGTCAGAACTTGCTGGAGTCTGTTAACAACATTCTGGTCAGAGGTTTTTTTTTGAAGCTGGAGTCTCACTCTGTCACCCAGACTGGAGTGCAGTGGCTGCTCCCGGCCACCGCAGCCTCGACCTGCTGGGCTCCGGCGATCCTTCTGCCTCAGCCTTCCAAGTAGCTGGAACTACAGGCACGCGCTACCACGCCCGGCTAATTTTTGATTTATTGTAGAGATGAGCTCTCGCCAAGTTGCCCAGGCGGGTCTCAAACCCGCAAATTCAGACAATCCACTCACCTCGGCCTCCCAAAGTGCTGAGATTACAGGTTGAGACACCGAGCTCAGCCCCTGGTCAGAGTTTTAATAACTAAAAACAATGTTGAGAGGATAATCAAGTTATTCAGTAGATAGGGTGGGGAAAGGAGAGACACAAAAGGTATGTTTTTTATCTTACAGCTCATTTCAACTTGAGAAGCATTTATAGGACACCGACTATTTGCCTATTATTGTAGCAGGCACAGTAGGAGATTCAAAGTATTACACAGCGTGATACCCAAACAGGAAGTCTACAGCTGCCAAGGAAAGAAAAGATCTACTACACACATGAAATAATTAGGTAGCAATAGATGGCAGGTCACAGTTAAGAACCAGAAGGTCAGCGGGTGAGCGCAATGAGACTAGAAAAGAGACAAACATCCGTTAGAGAAGTCAGTGAAAGCTCCATTGAGGAGGGTTGAGGGGGAGACTAACTAAAGCAGAAACCTCAAACTTTAGTGAACCGAAGAAACACATAGGGATCTCCTGGGCTTGACCTAGAAATTCGGATTCTACGTGGTTGAATCTAACATCTCCAGAGGATTCTAACATAGGTGGTCTTTGTGCCACATTCTGGGAAATACTTATGAGATATCAAGGTCTCTTTTGCTATAAAACCCAAGCTTCTGCTTGGATGGTGGGTTTCACTGACAGGGAAAGCAGGAAGAAAAGGGTGAGGGCACAGGAGTCTCTGATAAGGGCAAAAAACCTTCCTGCAGGTGAACAGGTGAGGTAAAAGCAAGTCTCTCTGGAGAGGATGGAGAACCCAGCTAGGCTGATGCAAGAAATGAGGGGAGGTAGCAGTCGGCTCACACTGAGCGTGGACAATAGAAATGAAGCATTGAGACGAGATCCTCTAGACACGAGAACAAGATGCAATCACTGACGATTTTAAACAGGAAGTGAGGGAATGAACCTAATCCCAGAGGAGGAAAATCGGACTGTTGACCTAGAAGTTTGCTAAGGAAAGGATTATGCAAAGCACGGCAAACGAGTGTCTGCTCTCCTATTATAGCTGAGTTTGAAATATACTCCCTTTTAGGAAAGAACAAAGGATCCTGACCTCTGTACTGCCAGTATTGTTTAGGGCATGCACTAAATGGGGTTTCAAGGTCTACCCTGGCCTCCAACAATATGTGACTACACAGACCTTTGGCTGCCTCTCTGAGTTCAGCCACTAGATGGCAGTGCTTACCCTCCTTTTAATAGGACAGGCCAGACAACCAGAAAGCAGAAAGACTGGGCTGTCTTCCCCTGAGAGTTTCATATATACACAACTACTTCCATATAATTCCAAGTTGTAATTTCCCATTAAGAAGGAAGCAAAGGTGGCCTGACAACAGCTGGGGTGCAAGGCAAGGTGGCTGGCCTTTTCTTGGAGAATCTGAGGGCATCAGAGAAGATAAGACACTTGGGTTCTGAGTCCCCATGAGTAATACGATCCAGGAAGAAGGGTTGAAGTCCCACTGCCTAGAGGTGCACTGTGGGTGACAGGCAGCCTGACCACAGAGTCCCAGATGGCAGGACACGGGGGCCAGGCCAGGCTCTGCCCAGGGTATACCCCAGAAGGTTGTCCACTCCACAACAGCAGGAGCCACCGGAGAGGGCAGGGGTCAAGACTCACCAAGCGAGGGGCAGGCTTCCTCATCTGAGCCGTCTGCACAATCTCGGTACCCATCGCACACCCAGGTGTCCATCACGCAAGTCCCGGTGCTGCAGCGGTAGTAATTGGGCAGACACGTGGAAGGCCCGGGGGTCGGAGAGGGAAGAATATGTGAATCTGAGGAAAACATCAAGCAAGGAGACCCAAAACATTACAAGAAGCTTGATCCCAGACCAAAATGTATCCCAAACCTTGTGCAGAAGTCCTAGTTTCAGCTGCACCAGCCAAGGGAAGTCAGTGACAGGTGGCGTTCTGAACAGTGGTGCATCCAAAAATCAGATATAACGACATGTCAGAAGAGATAACACTCTTTTTCCTTTCTGTGGATATTGCCCTTGCCTACTAGATTTGATTTGGGCTAATATTCGGATGAGTTTGCTTTTGCTGGGACTGATGGAAGGAACAGGTGACTCAGGAGGCACAGGGTGGCCTAGAGAATTCCGACTGAGGCTACACATTGTTCTGGTTAATTCAACCGCAACTTCCCAAGACTTGGTTCAGAGATGAGAATGCCAATAAGGAAAGGGACGAGCATGCATTCCACATGAGTGCTTCTCAAATGTGTCATGGCACACACAGGACTTGGGGATCTTATTAAAATGCAGATTCGGACTCAGCAGCTCTGGGGGGTGGGGCTGGAGATCCTGCATTTCTAACAAGTTCCAAGGAGACATAGATGATGCTGGTCTGCAAACCACACTCACAGTAGGAAGGCTCTACTCACTGTGCCCAGAAAATAAGGAATGAATAAACCCGGGAAACAGGAGAAAACAAGCACACTGGATTCAAAATGGGAAGGAGGAATAGAGAAAAACTCAGAGTCTTCCCTCCCCCGCAAAAAAACCCAAATCAAGGAATAAACCAGGCACATTTCGCAGAGTAAAACCATACAAGTGTATCTTAGTTGTGGGGCCGCCCTGGGGCCTCTTACCTCCACAGTCCTTCTCATCAGACCAATCCCCACAGTCGTTCTCCCGGTCACATTTCCACCTGTTGGGGATGCAGTGGCCATTCTCACACCGGAACTGGAAGTAGCGAGAGCAGTTGGGGGCTTCTGTGGGGTTTTCTGGGGAGACCAACCACACCGTCAGTCGCTTTCCTTGCCCCAGCATGAACACAAAACTCCAACTATATGCATCCTGCTCACGACCCCAATTTCCAGAGCCACTTGCGCTTCCCATCCAGAGAGAGATAAGGCAGCTTCATGGATCCCACGGGCAACAAAAATACACCCACAAACTCACCAAGACCCCATCTTCCCAGCCCCCAACTCACATTTCTCTGACCTACACTTCAATATCCTGAGAATGATTACCCGAGTTTTAACTCTGACATTTTATCAAAGGAATAAAATAACTATTGATGATCCTCGGATGGTGACAATAACTATGACACACTGTGGTCATGACTTTTCGGGGAGTATAGATATCATATTTACTATCATATTTACCATAATTCCTTACCTACCATATTCCTTACACATAATGTGGACTGCCCAACTGGGGAAAGAAAAGGAGATGGCCTAAACTTTCCCTAGCACCTACTAGGCATCAGGTTTCCACCCCAAGACTGAATTCCTCCTGTGGAGATTCAGGAAGTGACAGCAACTGCTGCTGAGGAAGGACAAGGCAACATCTACATGTGGATGTGCCAGTGAGCACCCTCCCCCTTAACCAAAGGCATCCCTAGACCAGAGGATGAGGATGCGAAGAGGCAGAGCCAACATCTTACCACAGCTGGCTTCATCAGAATAATCGCCGCAGTCATCCATCCCATCGCATTTCCAAATCAAGCTGATGCACACTCCATTCTGACACTGGAAACCGAACTCATCACAGACCTTGTGGAACTCGGGGTCTTGGGCTACACAAGGAACAAACACCCATACAGTCCAGATTACTTCCCTGCTGAGGACTCGGAGCAGGCGTGCTGTTCCAAAACAGTAGGAAAGAGCCAAGGTCCTCTGCCAGGAGAATGTCCAACTAAAAAATTCCTTGAAAGCAAAAGTCAAGCCTAAGCTCAACGGAGCACACATTTTGTTAATTAATCCATTCCATGAGTCTTTCCTGATTTCTGTCATGAGCTGAGGCCTCACCCTATCCTCCCACGTTGTAACCCCTACACCCTCAGAAACAGGACTATATTTGGAGATATGCGTTTTATAAAAAGGAAAAGTTAAAATGAGGTCATCAGGGTGGGGTCTCATCCAATATGACGGGTGCCCTTGTGGAAGAGGAGATTTGAACACAGACATATACAGAGAAAAGACTGTCTAGAAGACATGGGGAGAAGACAGTCATCTGCGAGGCCAGGGAGATAGGCCTCAGAGAAACCCAACCCTACCAACACCTTGATCGTGGACTTCTAGTCTCCAGAACTGTGAGAAAATAAATTTCTGTTGTTAAGGCACCCAGTCTGTGGGTAGTGTGAGCAAATAAATACAAGTACTACCACATGCAGAGAAATGTTTTAGGATAGGGCCATGGCAATGAGCAAAAACGAAGACCCTGTCCTTGTCAATTTCAAGCAGGGGAGGCATATGGTAAAATAAATACATAAATGCAGAGAGGAAACGGATTCTGGGAAGACCACTGGAGTGAGGTAAGGGGCTACAACGTGATGGGGCGTACTTGAACATAGCACCAGTAGGGTGGTCCTTGAGCCAAGATTATGGTCATTCACCATTCTCCTCTTTGTACGTGTCCTAACAATGAAAAGCAGTAGCTCTTAAGCAGTAAAGTGATCTAAGACGGAGGTGCATCCCCAGGGTGGCCAACCCCCATGCAGGTTCTTTAGTGACCGCGAGCTACCTCCCCTCAGCCCCTCTGCCTCACTCACAGCATCCCGCAAATGCCGCATCCTCATCGGACCCGTCACGGCACTGGATGATTCCATCACACACCATGGAGTGGAACAGGCACTGCTGGCGGTTCTTACACACAAAGTCCATGAAGCGTGTGCAGAGGGGCTCTGAAAGGGATCAGGGAGGAGAAAAGGCCATGAGCACCGGGACTGGCTAGGTCTTCTCTAGCCCTGGGCAGGCACACACCAATCCACACGTGCGTTTAGGAAACAGCAGTAATAGCCACCATTTACTGAGTACTCGCTTCGTGCATCAAGCCTAGAACTAAAGCACTTGACATAAAGTGCATCGTTAAGCCCTCAAGACAACATTATGAGAGATTTTTATTTACCCTGTCTTCTCATTTTGAAGTATTAAGTATTGACCAGAGCACACAGCTGATGAGGGTGAATCCATAGTTGAAATCCAGAGCTGTCTGGCGTCAAAGCCCCTATTAATATGATACTGCCTCTCCTATACAGGGGTTGGCAAGCTTTTTCTGTAAGGCACCAGTGTTATGGAGTGAATTATGTCCCTCCAAAATGTGTAATTAAAGCATTAACCCCCAATGTGACTGTATTTGGAGATAGGACCTTTAAACAAATAATTAAGGTTAAATGAAGTCATAAGGATGACTGGTGTTCTTATAAAAGGAGGGACAGACACCAGGGACACACACACAGAGAAAAGGCCATGTGAGGACACTGCAAGAAGATGGCTGTCAGACTTGAACTTCAGTTTGCCTCTGGGTCTCCAGCCTACTGGCTCCCTTTGCAGATTTTGACCTTGCCGGCCCCCATAATCACGAGTCAATTTCCTAAAGTAAACCAATCTCTTTCTCTCTCCCCTCTCTCCATGTGTATGTGTGTGTATGTATGTATATATATATTTATTATTTCTCTATTTCTCTGTGTGTGTGTGTGTGTGTGTGTGTGTGTGTGTGTGTATGTATGTATGTATGTATGTATGTCTCTCTGGAGAATCCCAACTAACACAACCAGAGAGCAAATATCTTAGGGTCTACAGATCACACAGTATCTGTTACAACTATTCAATTCCACCACTATAGTTCAAGAGCAGCCATATATAACATGTAAGCAATTGGTAATCACTGCATTCAAAGACAACTTCATTTACTAGAACAAGTTATGACCTGGACTTTGCCCACAGGCCAGTTTGCCACTCCCTGCACTGATACATCAGTGCTCAACCTAGATTGCACATTAGAATCACCTGGATCACAGTAATTAAAAAAACACACACACACACACCAACGTCCAAGCCACACACTCTAGGCTAACGAAATCATAATCTCTGGAGGGGATGCCAGGCACCAACAGCTTTTAAAGCTCCCCAGGTGATTACAATATATGCTCAAGGAGGAGTACCACTGACCCAAGACACCCTTTCTGCGTCTAAAGAAAAGGGGGATAAAAAAGATCAACCTGGCCTAAAAGTGTTTCCCATGAAGATCTGCAACATTAACAAAACCAGTCAAGTAGACTCGCCCAATTCAAAACAACTGGTAGATTCACAGACACTGCAACTAAACAGTAACATTCACAGAAGTAAAAACCAATCCCACCACCACCCACCCCCCACCCTTCTTCCTGTTCTCCTTTACCCAAACCACATCTCCCTGCCACCATCAGCCTCAAGGAGCCCTGGGCCAAGTACCCAGGGGTCAACTCAGCTAAAAGCTAACCATAAGCAGGTACTGAGGAAATGAAAGGATTTAGTCCAATATATGCTCTTCCCTGACAACCACCAGCCCTTGGTGTTTCCCTAGGGCGGGGAGTGGACTCACCACAGTGCTGTTCATCTGAGCCATCTGAGCAATCATGCAGACCGTCACAATGTTTGCTGGATGGGATGCAAGTGCCATTGGGGCAGCGGAAGCCATTGCACTTCTTCTCTGAAATGTAATTCAACCATAGAGAAGACTGACAAAGAAGAAACAGGCCAGCACTCATGCACATTGTTGGCAGAGTTATACGTTGGTACCACCACCAGGGAGGGCAATTGGTCACAGCTAGCAAGATTGCAAATGTACATAGACTTTGACCCAGCAATTCCACAATTTTTCAGTTGTGTAAGTAGATAGCATTCTACTTACACAACTGAAAAATCATGTAGTACAAGTGTTGCATTGCAACACTGTAATAGATCCAAAACCATCCACAAGTGTTGCACAGCAACGCTGTAACAGAACGACAACAGTCCATCCATAGGAGACTCTTTAATAAATAACTGTATCCTGGAATACTAGACAGCTATAAAGAGATGGAAGAAGTGCACTATAAAACTTATGTCCTCGATGAGTTATGTGAAAATCAAGGTACAAAACAACATGCATAGTAAAAAAACTGCCTGTGTAAAACAGGACAGTAATACACAGTATATTTAAATTTATGTATGCACAAAAATATTCTAAAATGATATACAGCCATGGTTGGCTAGAGGGAAAGGTACTTACTCCATTTTGAATACATGTGAATGGATTGACGATTCAAACATTAAATATACTTTTTAGAAGAAAAAGAAAAGCTTAAGTGAATAGAAAAAAAGAGAACATAAATTCTAATTATGACATACTAATTTTTAAAGCTCTTTAAATACCTCACCACCTTAATTCCTCAGGAATTCTAAAGCAAAGCCCTTTTGAAGAAAGTCTGCCTAGAAATGTTAAGGGCCCGAGGCTTCACAAACAGTTCCAGAGGAAATTAAGCTTGCACTGAGGTATCTTGATGCTTAAACTCACAGTCCCTAGTACTAGGTCACCTCCTTTCCTGAGCAGAATTGCTGCTAGATATTAGACTTGAAAATCAGTTCTAACTGGGCTATCGTAGGAAGCCTTTTCAAATCCATCTCTTGGTAGAATAGTTCCATGAAGATTAGGTGTAAGGCAAGAAAATATGTGTTAATCCTGTAAAAAGTCATCATTCCTCGGAAATAAGTCTGACTAATTTCATCCAATAGAATGAAAGAGTATATGAGTGACACTATTTGGGGAAGTGGTGGATGTCACTAAGTAGAAAAAGTTAAAAAAAAGAAAGCTATACATTAAAACCATATGAAACAAACACACATTAAATTAGTGAGAACAACAAAAAAAGTTAAAATCAAATATCAAAGGAGTCTTGGGGAAACATTTGATTTATTACTAGTGGAGATGAATTTGGTATAATCCCTTGAAACGCAATCTGAAAACACCTAAAGAGAATCGCAAAAACTGTTCAGAAATTTTCACTCCGCAACTCCATATTGACGAACATATCCCAGGAAATATCTCCAAGGAAAAATAAGCCTTCATTTCCAAGGACATGGTAGCTGTGCTAGCATAACTGTGTAAAACTAAAAACACTCAAATGCCTGCCCAGGAAGTGACTGAGTAAATTAGGTTATGATAATATAAAGTGAATGCGCATTTTCCACAAAAATGCTAACTATGGAAAAATACAGATATATAGATAGATAGATAGAGATATATATGTTAAATATATATATATAAATTAAATATTGTCAAATGAAAGGAGAATTCAGAACAACAAGCAGACAACAACTACAATCTCATGAAAATTTGGTATGTTTGGCAAAAAGATAAGGACAGAGAACCTTGAAAATATTTGGTATAAAAAAAGCATTTGATATATTTTGTTTGTGTGGGCAAACTGCTTGCCTGAAAATTACTACTATATAATACTCCCTAATATATCATATGGCAACACAACACAGAAAGTGGGTGGGCTTGTTTAGCTGTCAGAGTGGAAATACGGGCACAGTAGAACAGTATTTCATTCCCTAGCCCATCTGCTGGCTCTCTCTCTGAACAGCAGACACCGGGGTCTCTCCGATGGGAGCCAAAGCATGTGCATTTACCACAGTTGACTGGATCCTCATCAGAACCATCCTGGCAGTCCGTGTCACCATCACATGCCCACCGCTGGGGGATGCAGTGTCCATTGCGGCACTGGAAGTTAGAGGCCTCACAGGTGTGATAGATGGCTGTAATAGAGAAGAGACAGTTACACCCTCCTCATCTCCATCTTCCGCCAACTGTTAAGCGGGGGTAGACCGAAAAGAGATTTGTACCAGGTAAGAAGGCATGAACTTCAGGACCATCTGAGTCCTCCTCCTCCTCCTCAGTGGGGAATTGGGCACCTGGGGCTGACCTTATGGTGGAGGGTAGCTCTCCCAGTGGCCAATGACTTCAGCCTATGGCTTTATCAAGGGGACACAAGCCATTACACAGGAACAGATGCACATGATTAAAAAAGGCCACTCACTCTTCACAACAACCTATGAGGTATTGCTCCCCTTTCACAAGTGCGAAACAAGCTTAGAGAGATAAAGACATTTATAGATAAGTGATGGCAACAAGCCAATTCAAGTATAAAGCCTATACTTTTTCTACTATACCTTGGTACTTTATCTTCTCACATAAATCCTCTTATTCATCCAGACACTGTGAAATAAGGAGAGATGGTGTGTGCTCAGGAGGCTGAGTTCTAGACCTGGTCCAGCCACTGTGTGGCAGTCTGAATTTCATCATCCTGACATTGACATCTAAGAGCTCTTCTAAGCTCTGAAAGACCATGACTTTACAATTCTTTTTTTAAAATGACTTCATTTCAATTATGAAAAATCATGTAAAATCACAAAGAAAGCAAGCCCCAGAATCTAGAATCTAGAATCCAGAAGTTAAGACAACTTTCTGTAGAGTCAAGAGCAACATCTACCAGCTAACAATACATAGAGTCCACTACAATCACTAAAAGAAAAAAAAGAAGCTAGTGAAACAGAGAGTCACTGTTTCAAATGAACAGCCTCTTTTGCACACATGGACTGAGGCCACCTGGAAGTCATTTAGAAACATCTCAAAATCTTGCTCAAAGACTAGTTCAAATGCACAATATCTGCCTCAAACCCAATCGACACTACTAACTGCTTTCTCCATCAGATTTCCTCTTCCTCCTCTGAAACAGAAAGCTGTTTGTGTCTGTTCACTGCTGAATGAAAGCCAGGACTGGCCTTGTTTACAACCAGCATAAAATAATATAATCTAGATAGATGGGCTCTCTGTTAGTTTAACTGTGTAGACAGGATGTCTTCACAACAGAAGGAGGCAAAACAAACAGAAGTGGGTTGTTGAGGGCAAACTATGGTTTTTTATTTAATTGCGACTGTTGGCAATAAGCTACTCAAGGTCTGGGGAAATAAGCTTGGATTGTCCTCTAGAGTCTCTACTGAATTTGGGACTATTTTTGCAATGGTCAGAAATACAAAGAACCTGATTTTCAATCTGTGTCTTCTCATCTCTCTGAAGACCAAGGTAGTATTTGGTAGCATGTATATAAGTCCACAGGAAATTTCAATATTTATAACCTTTGGCACTCAGAATCCATTAAACATCTTTTTAAAATATACTTATCTCTGATCAGAGGAATAAATGTATCATGCATGTTACATGAGTTTCTGCCCCAGTAACAGCCATCGCCTGGAATACTTTTGATTTATTGGTGTCATAAGTCTGACAAGCTTCAAAAAACTCCTCACCAAAGCCTTGCACACTTTCATAAAATATAAACTTGCCTAAACTGATTGTCATACTAATCTACTTGTTATTCAGCCTATGTATTTCATTCTAATTGAAAACAATTTCAGAGTGCCAGTGGAGTTTCTAAATGACAATTCTGGGAGGTATGTCTGAGATCTCCAAATTCCATCACAGAATCAGTTTGCACAATTTCATCCAGTGACCAGGTATGACTGGAATGCAAAACATATGCTCTTTTCCTGGATTTTCCTATTTTCCAAGTAACTTACTAGCTCTCATTTTGAGTGCCTGGTAAATAATACATGCTCAATAAATAATTGTTATTAATTATAAGAATGAAAGAAATTGATTTTAATTCAAACTAAAATATTGGGGAAAAGAAAAATTATTTGATAAGTAGGATTCATTTGTAACTGTAAATATGGTGAGGTTAATGTGGTAAACAATCAAGAAAATGGAATATTAGCTTCTAATATAAGGCATTATCCTACGACTTATTCTGATTCAGACAGATCTTTCCTGACTCATGAAGACCTGCTGGAACACTTGATCAAATGCACTAAAATATGAGAAGGGCAAAACAGAACAGATTAATTAAAGTACTATGACCAAGAAAGTATTGCCTCATTTCTTTTTTTTTTTTTATTGAGTTGGAGTCTCACTCTGTCACCCAGACTGGAGTGCAGTGGCTGTTCCCGGCCACTGCAGCCTCGACCTGCTGGGCTCTGGCGATCCTTCAGCCTCAGCCTTCCGAGTAGCTGGAACTACAGGCACGCGCTATCATGCCCGGCTGATTTTTTTTTTTTTTTTTTAATTGCAGAGATGAGGTCTTGCCAAGTTGCCCAGGCTGGTCTCGAACCCGCGGGCTCAGGTAATCCACTCACCTCAGTCTCCCAAAGCGAGGGATTACAGGCTGAGCCACCGAGCCCAGCTGTATTGCCTCATTTCTTACAAAACACTGGACTACTAGGAAGTGTAGGAGGAAAAAAAAACTCAATTAAAAACAATCTGAATGATTAATGACATAGAAGAAAAAACATCATGTATAAAGAAAGGATATTGAAAAATAAAAGGCAGATTTGAAAAAGAACCAAATAAAAATTCTAGACACAAAAAACAGGCTAATGGAAATTTTTTAAAAAGGGAAAAAAAAAAGGTTTAATGGATATGTGAAACAGTGGATGAGATTCTGTTAAAAAGAGAATTGTTGAACTGGAAGATAAGCCTAAATAAGTAACTCAGATTCTAGCACATAGTGCTAAAGAGACAATAAGTATAAAAACAGGAAGCAACAGAACAACAGAATGAGGCAGTCTGACAAACGGCTAATAGCAACTGATGACAACTAGACCAGACAATAGCAAAAAAGCATAGCTGAAGAGTTAGTAGCTGTAATTTCCCAGAACTGATTAAAAAAAAAAAAAAAAATTCTCAGATCTTAAAAAAAAGAAAGTCTCAGGGAGGAGAAATAAAAATAATTCCACATTTACATAGGTGAAACTTCATAACAACAGTGACCAAAAAAAAATCAAGATAACTAGAAAGAAAAGAATGCCTCTTGTCATTTGAACAGATAACCTAACAGGTTCAAATTCAAATCAGCACAAAAGAGGCCAGAAAGAAATGAAAGGATTCCATCAAAATACTTACGGAAAATTACTACAAACCTAGAGACCCAGACCCATCTGAATTCAAGTCTCTGCATATCCAGGAGAAGGTAAAGATATTAAGAATACACATAAAATGTCTAAAGGCAACAGCCAAAAAATCAGAAATCAGATGTGGGGACAAGAAGAGCAAAGAGCACACACAGTACAGAGTGTGTATCCCAGTTGAGGCCAACAGGAGGTCAGCTGGCCTGACCTACTTCTTTTGGAGTTGTTCATAGCTCAACTTAGTAGGTCAGAAAAGTGAGTATCATGCCACACATTATCATGAGCTCACATCCAACCTCCAACTATCTTGAAATGATGGAGAAGGGAAATCATCCTTAAAAGATTTGGAAGAACAGCCATTGGAACAAGGCTGCAGTTGAGAACCAAGGATTCTAAGGTTTCTCCAGTTAGCCTTGCCAGAAGAAAACTGGGGATAAAACCAAGAGTTTTTGACAAGTCCATACATAGAAATGAAGTTATTAATTTACTCTGGAGGACTGGCACTCACTACTGAAACACAAGTTTGACTAACACAGTTGTGCTAACAAGATGTTCAGTCATAATACAATTGACAAACTGAAATGTTCAAGTGCACCTTTCTAATTTAATAATTATCCATCCAAACACAAAGCTTTCAAACAACACTCATGTGTTTCCTCGGCTGACAGCAGTTCTTCCATGAACCTTGGTTTTTCCTCCTCCTGCAGGCCATGCTAGTATACAGAGAGAGACATATTCCTGCAGTCTTTCTAGAAGCAGAGGCACAGACACTGAGCGTGAACCAGAAAGGATATGGGTGAGCTTTACAAGGGGACAGATCTGTGTGTGTATATGACATTTGAGGAGATCCATCTACTCCCTCAAGACCATATAAGGTCATGTCCAAAGTAAAACAAATGGAGGGAGGCAATTGGGAAAAACGCTCAATCTGCAGGGTTCCCTGAGTATGTACTCTACTATGTGCTGGGCACTGCAGAGAATACAATGGAAAAAAAAGCAAGGTCATCTCTATCCTTTGGGAACCAAATCTACCCCGGAGCATAATGCACAGTTATTTATATTTAAATTGGGGATATAACAGACCTACCTTCTTTGTATTTGCTTTTACAAATCAATAGGCAAATGTTAAGGCACCAGATGTCGGGCAGTGTAGAAAATATCAGAGTACTCTTGGGGCAAAATAGGTTAAGACGTGGGTTTCAAAAGTCACTCCAATAAGTCACATGATTAATGACTGACACCAGGTGATTGGGAAATTGACTCAACAATGAATTGCCAAGTGGAGCCTTAATTATCAGGATGTAAAAGCAGATCTGCCCTGACCATAAAATACTTAAATGAAACATCTTTATCTCCCCTGCCCAAAATCAAATCACTGGAGGGTTTCCAAGATAGAACTGAATAGCAATGTCTAGAGGAGACTGCAGAGTAAATTTATTCATAGAGTAATAAAATCTGCTTTATTTTATTTTTGACAAATTATAATTGAATATATTATGGGGTACAAAGAATGGTTATCAAAGGGAATTTGTTTATATTCCTTCACTATCTTCCCAACTCCTTGTGTTCCCCACTACACCTTCCCGCCCTGCCCCTGCCACCCCACCATAATGTATATGGCCAACATGCATGCATTCATTCATTCATTCATTCATAGAAATAATGAACATGAGGAACCCAATAAAATAATTAGAACATTACCTCTACATAACACCACCTATCACTCTTCTCAAATTCATGTTATTTCCAGTTTTATTTTTAATAAAATCTTACCCAAAACAGGTATAAATACAGTTTACATTTTCATTTTCATTTTGTTGAGGCAACCCCATGACACCTCATTTAAAAGACATGAACTAGTTCGGTGCTAGTCAAAGTATGGTTCCTACACCATGGCTCATCTGTGAACTCTTTATTACTGGTCCTGAAGAAATAAGAAGCTTGAACCAGAATCTGAATCAACAACTATATCACACTGTTCGGTCAGTTGACATTTTTTCTTAGACTTCCTCAATGAAGGAACGAGTTGATTTATAAGGTCCAAGCCAATTCTCAGAGCCTAGATTTTACAATCAGTTAAGTCTATAATGTTACCCAGAACATGAAGAGATGAGTGCGTTTAACTGAGCCTATGATATTAACAAGTACATGAACAAATGAGTGCCGTGAACTGAGTCTAGGAAGTACTGACCAGTACAGTTGGCTTCGTCAGACCAGTCCCTGCAGTCGTTGTCCCCATCACACACCCAGGAGGAACGGATGCACATGCCAGAGCTGCAGTTGTATTCATCACTCCGGCACTGGTGCATTTCTGCAGGCGAGATCACAAACAGAGATGTGAGGTCAAAAGCTTGCTCAGAATACCATCTCTAGTGTCAAAGCTCATAAAGGTTTGAAATGGATCCATCATCACTAATTATCAACAGATAGCATGAATGAGGAGATGTTCAACCAATGGAGGGTCATGTAAGATAGTTTCCAATGAGTATACTGTAAATGCATTACAGGTATGCTGAAATATTAATACCCTCAAACTCTCACAGTTGCTTCTTGTCAAGCGCAGCCTTGTGTACTTATCCCAGCACACTCCACAAATATTATCATTTTCTATGCTTGCTATGATGGGAAGGAAATTAGGAAGCAGTGAGGAGGCCGAGAGTAGAACTTCCAAGAAACAGAAGACCCCTAGAGAAACAGCTTGTGGTATGAGACTATGAATACTGAGAGGTCCTCATGTGCTGATCACTTTGAGATGCTCAGCTCAGGGAAAGTGAGATTAGAGCTGAGCTTCCAAAGCAGAGAAAACACAGCTCAGGACTTTCTGTGGGCAGAGCTCCAGGATGCAGGTGGACATGCTGTCTCCAGAAGGATGGGGGTCTGGTGCAAACAAACGAGTACAGCTTGACCAAGATAAGGAGGCTGCCCTGGCAATGGCTTTCAAAGCATCTGGGAAGACCATTAAAACAGAATGCTATGGTCTAAATCTATCAACAGCAGAAATTTCTCATAGTTCTGGAGGCTAGGAAAATTCAAATGCTTAAACTTATTCATATGTTGAAAGTTAATTGCCAATGTGTAGCATTAAGAGGTGGCATATGTTGAAACTTAATTGCCAATGTGTAGCATTAAGAAGTGGGCCTCTATAAGGTAATTAAGGCATGAGGGCAAGGCCCTCATCAGTGGGATTAGTGACCTTACGAAAGGTGCAAGGGAGCGGTTCATCCATTCTGACATGTGGGGATGCAGAGGAGGCACCATCTATGAGGGTCAGGCCTTCACCAGACACTCAATCTACTGGCACCTTGATCTTGGACTTCCAAGCCTCCAGAACTGCAATAATAATAGATTTCTAGTATTTATAAATTATCCAGTCTAAGGCATTTTGTTATAGTAGCCCTAATGGACTGAGACATAGAAGCCAATGAAATTTACAAAACCTCATACAACAGGAGTGGCCAAGCGTGGGGCCCAGGGCAGCTGTCCCAGTCGCTCTCCTCAAGAGACCGGTTGATAAGAGAGTTGGCAAATCAAGTATCTGTGAGGAAAGAGTCTGGAGACTTAATGAAGAGGACCAGCACCTGAGGAAGGGACTAACTAGGATCTTGGAATGGATTCAGGACAAACTGGTAAGAATGGGCCATGAACAGGGGATCCAGGGCAGGGACTGGAACTGTTTAATGGCCAAATGTGTGCCCAGCAAGTGAGCTAGATGACACCTGGAATCATGTGGAGTTTTCTTCCTCCTAAGGGAAGAACCTTCTGAGAGTGCTGGGGAAATGGCAGGGATGAAGGAAAGACAGGAGTCAATATCAAGAAAATGTCTTCTGGCACTTGATGAAGGAAAATTATGTAATTTTTTAAAAGGGTCATTGCTTTGTTAAACTCTGGTGTGTCCATGTGGCTCTTTGAGCTACGGCCTCCATGTTTCCTAGCCTTGGTCCCCTCTCCTACCTTGGGGAGGTGAATCTCCTTTCGTCTAATTCACATTCTAAATAAACTACATTTTCCAATCTAAAACAACAAAAAATAAAAATTCCTCTGAGAGCCAGGCTATAAGTATCTTCCATGTGAAAGTGGTCCCGGCTGGTATGCTAGTTAATTTGCGTTAAGATTCTTTACCAGCAGCACCTGCCCTCTTTACTTCAGTCCTGTGAGTCAAACCACCTGCTCATAAGAAAGCAAGCCTGTCCACGTGCACATGCATGGCGTGGCTGAACCTGCCACCAGGGACAGAGAGAGAAAGCCCAGCAGAGCCAGGCCGACTCATCACCACGTCTGGGTCAGCGTCTGGTCTCCATTCTCACTTCCCCCTCATGCCTCCACAGTCTGGCGCACTACGCTTATTGCATAATGTCTCCTTCAACAGTCAGCAACTATAAGTTTGGGACCAGAGCCTATTAACTAAGATAAGTCTCATGAAACCAACAAGGCAGTCCTGCACAGCAGAAAGGGCATGGAATTAGCAAACAGTCCACGTGGGCCCCAGTTCCCCATTCTGACACAAACTGTGTCACCTTGAGTAAGCCCCCTGACCTCTACTGACCCCAGTCACTCAATACAGAAATCAAAAGGATTGGACTAAAGAATCTCTATCACTTCTTGCAATTATAACCTACTGTTTTTCTAAATATAAACAATTCTACTCAAACAGATGCTCAGTCAATGCCTATGCCATCTGCTGACTTTTAACAGAGTTTATTGAATTAAATTGGCTTAAAAGAAAAACAGTTCACAAAAGTACAGATCTGTCTTCAGGAGGCTAATCTCACACACACTCTGAGGTGTGGACGATGTCTGCACAGCTGTTAATAATCCCCTGAATTCATTCAGAAATCTTCCTTTCTATCACCTTTCATCCTTATAGCATCTCTCCAAAGCAAAGCAGGGGCCATTTCCCCATTTTTCAGATTAGAAAACAAAGGCTAATACAAGAGTAAATAAGGGACCAGAGCTGAGTATAGGCTCTATTTTTCCCAACCATGAATCTAGGGTCCTATTTAACGCTGTATGAATTGTCTCCAGCAGAAGACAATTAAGAATCCTTAAGAAAAATAGCAAACAGGTTCTTTAAGAACTGAATGGAGGAAAAAAATGGCTCAGCTCTACTAGGTGGACGGAGTGGTCATTCAAAAATCTTATGAATCCTGAAATGGTCATCAGACACCCTCCATTTCCAACCCACCCCAACCACTGGTAAACCCCAGTGAGCGAGTATGGTGACCCCCTCTCTGGAGCGAGATTTCAGGATATTGTGCCTCCTTACCACAATGGCTTTCATCACTGTTATCTCCACAGTCATCCTCAAGGTCACATTTATAGGAGAGTGGGATACAAGTCCCAGACTCCTGGCAACGAAACTGGGTGTCCAGGTCACAGATAGTGGTGGCTAAAATGGGAGAGAAAGATGACATACTCATTAAATACAATTAATTTCCCTCAGACACAAATATCCTACAGGGAAACGAATCTAAAAAATAGAAGCAGATTTTAGTTGCAGTTATAGAAATTAAACCTAAACGTATAGAAGAAATAACTGCACAAGAACCTGAAATTTACAACCAAAGGAAGTAAGGGCATATATTTCTGTGGACAGCTTCCTGATCAGAACAGGGCAGAGGAAAGTGAGAAGCTGTCATCCAGCTGGGAGAAAGAGTGATGGGCTAGATTACCCCCTATGATCCCTTCAGACAGTAAGTGGCAGAAATAACTTTATCTACAAAATTACAATTAGGGGAATCTAATTTCATATAGGAAGCTGGCACCTCATCATACAGATGGCAAAGGCAGTGTGGGGCAGAATTCTGTAGCGGGAACAAGGGCTCCTTCTGTAGTCAGTCAAGACTGGGCTTCAAATCCTAGCTCCATATCTTCCTTGGGCAATTAATTTTAACCACCCTAATCCTGAATGAAGCTCCTCACAGTAAAATGAGGGTAAGGTAATGTGGCCAAGTACTTGAGGTGGCAGTCACAAAGACTAGATTTAAATCTTGATTCTACTACCTACAACTTATTTAATCTAACCGTTCTGTGCCTCTACCATAAAATGGAGAAACCGCCCCCTACCTGGTAGCATCATCATGAAAACAAATCAGGGAACAAGTTTGGGACTAGAGCCTATTAAATAGGATGTAGATATGATCGACTCTAAACAAACATCATTTCTCTTCCTCATCATTCCTCATGCCCCTCTGGGCATCAGAATTAATACAGAATTAGATCTTTCTCCTTTTCCTAAACAGAAATCTCCTGTGCTTAAGCATAATCCCTAGACCCTCCAAGGAAGGCATGAGGAAGGAAGGCTGCTCTGGGGAACAGTGAAGGGCTGACACAGAGGGTAAAATGTGGCAGAACAGAATCCTGGGACGGAGGGTGGGGTGTGCTGCGCAATGAAATGCCAAACGGCAACACTGCTGTTAGACATCCCGGCAGCTCTTATTTGAGGCTCCATTTCTTCTCTGTAATTGAGCTCGTGGTAGAAGGCAGGGGATGAATGCAAAATGACAAGACTACAGGGGATTCACGTCAAAACCCTGAGTGCCTGACAACCACCCAGCTGGAGGAGTCTGTTTAAGAGGGAGGGAAATCTACTGGCAATATCCCTCCTGCATCCCTTCATGCCCCCCTCCTCTTCTGTTCCCTGGCAGCTGACGGGTGCCTCACTCGGCTCCCCATGGAGTCAGGAGCCAGTCACGGCCAGTACCTCTTCTGCAGTCCTGGCTGTGAACACATGCCTCTCTCCTCCTCTAGTGACCTCCTTGATGAGGGAGACACACATGAAGACATAGCTAAGCCCCTCTCTCTTAATTCCCAGGCTCTGCATTTTAAATCCCTCCTTCTCCTCTCCATACCTCAGCCCCATCTGACCTGTGGGGACCTGAGCCAAGTGGAATTGGGAGACAGCAGAGCAGAAAGTACACCTCGGAAAAGTCAATGCCAGCTGACATTCACAACAAGCCAAGAGGAGGGAAGAGCCAGTTCTGTATTCCATGCAGAGCAAGAGCTTAAAATCTGCACGGAAAACTGTACAGCCAGCAACAGAGCTCAGGGCCCGGGTAGGAGGAAGCCACTGAGGGAGGCAACCTTGTCTCAAAAGATGGAGGTCTTCATTTCTCTCAAATCTTGGAGCCAATATGAGATCCAGCTTGTCCATTTAGTGGAAGCCAAGCCCAAGGGCACAAGGAGGAATGATATGCGCCTTATGTCCTTAGCTATTGGATATGAGGTCACCTGGCTTGCACCTTGCTGCTCCCACCATACCTAATTATGTCTGGGCAATTTTCTTGCAGCATGTTAATTCTAAGAAGCATCTCCTCCCTCACCCTGATATGTAATAAACCCTTGCCATTATCTGCTTCAATGCTGTTAATAAGCATTAGTGTTTTCAGAGAGCTGTGGATATTGCCCACAAATATCACACCTTCCTGTAACTAGAGGGTAGAGAAAGTTTTACAGGCCCTTAGGCAGAAGTGAAAGACACAGAGAGGCTAGTCCAGTCCTGCCACTCAGTAAATAAGCTCTTCTTCCTTGATGTGAAAGGCATCCACTGAAGCCAAAGGAAAATGATTAAGAAAAGGCTTCATAAATAACCTCTTATAAGCCAAAAAGGGCAGTCTATAGAATTGCAGGGCCCAGACAAGTTTAATGAGTTGAATACACCTCAAGTTGCTTTTTGGGTGAAGTGGCATGGGAAAGGCTGGCACAGACACCATGGATGACTGGCTAAATACAACTGCCAGGGGCCAGAGGAGTATCTAGAGCTACCCATTAATCTGTTCTTACAGTACAAATTGACAAATGAGCTCCTGGACTGCCAAAGATAAAATATTTGAAAGAGAGGTCTTCTGACTTGATTTCTGGCTGCCCTGACTCTGGTCTTTCTCTCATCTCAATGCAGTCTGCCTGCTGCTTATCTTCCCAAAGGTGAAATCTTATCGAGGCCCATCAATGGTTCCCAACTGCTCTTCCAATAAAGTCCACCAGGCCCTTGACGACCTGAGCCCTGCCCACCCATTCACCTCACCTGGCTCCCCTGCACCCACCCACATTCTCAACAGCCATGCCTTCCTCACATGCTGCTCCCTTGCCTACAACTTTCTTCCCTCCACCTCTGCTTGGTCCTCCCCAAGCACCCCTCAGGGCTCTTCATTAGTGCCCACCCAAGTTTTCTTTGAATGCTTATCCTATATGCATATGGTAGTTCCCCAACACAGCACTCATAGCTGCCTGCCTACTTCTCTGATTCCCACTTCAGACAGTGAACTTCCAGTTTCCACCATACTCATCAATATATGCCCAGGCCCAGCAAAGAGCCTGGAACACAGGGTGCTCGATAAGTACTTGGTGACTGAATGCATGACTGACAAAAGGGCAAATCGTCTCCTTATAAAATAACATCAAAGCTATTAAAAATAAAGTGAAGAAGAGATGGTGGGAATTTGTAGTGAATAATGATTCATTATAAGTAGTTGTTTTTATTTAAACCCTGCTAATAAGAGTAACATACTTCAGTAGTTAGACCTTTAAAATTATACATCCAAAGATGACATTTACATAGCACGCATACCAATGTCTCCAGATTCTAAGTCAAACTATGCTTTACTAATCAATGAAAATAATCTCTCTCGAGCCTGGGAGATAGCCAACATCAATTAATTGGAATACCATACAGGTAATACTTGTTTCTCATCCCTGAAAAGACTGAATATGGAATTTACAAATCAGAGAATGTCACCCAGTCCCCGCCCCCACCAAGTCAACCAGTTTTATTACAGAGTCAGACTAGACTAGAGCCCAGATTTATTACAGCCAAGACTAGAGCCCAGATTGCCAAACCAGCTCAGTTTCAGCCATGTGATGCTTATTTATAAATTTCTTGTAATAAGTAGTCAACTTCTGTGCGTTTTTAAAATATATATGTCAAATATTAATACTGTACATCATACTAATACTGTACATTAAGTGCATGCACACACACCCACACGCAGCAATGTTTTCTCTGTCATCCAAGCCCCCATCAACTTAGATGGGTATCACCAATAATGGACAGGTCTCAACCTAGACCTTAGGCCCCCTGCCCAGGAATTGCTGACTAGCCTCTTGAGAATGGTAAATGCATCACATCCTGATAACCAGGCTATGGCAGAAGACTCACGGCAGTTCCTCTCATCGCTCATGTCTCCACAGTCGTTGTCAAAGTCACACCACCAAATGCTGTTGATACAGTTCCCATTGCTGCAGCGATACTGGTTACGGAGACAGGTGTTCTCTAGCCATCAGGGATGGGCAGGGGAGGAAATGAAACCAATATATTATTCTTACTGCTGGACCACAGAACTTTCTCTTTTGAGTTTCCATTTCCCTTCCTCAAATGACATGATGCCTTAGGTGGTAAAGGCAGAGGAGGAATGCCAAGCACATACATATACAGAAAAGAAGGCATCCCAGAGTAGCAGCCTGCTTCTTCTTTTAATTTAAATTAGCAGAGGAGAGGAAGGCTGGAAAGAATATTGGGAGGAAGTTACAATGATATAAAAGGAGAATGATGACATCAGTTGAGTCTATTGGGTAGTGAATATAGTAGTACATCATCAATATTATGAAATACTAACTATACAAGGAACTCCTTAATGGTCTGTGTCTACACACTATTAGGACATGCATATCCAATATATCTACAGCCATACCTTATATATATATATAGTTGTATGTATTCATACATATTCAATTTATCAACCAAATTAGCTTCAAAGATTTTCTGTACATACTCAGAAAAATGTTTTCTGTTCCATAACTTCTTTAAAGCAGGCACTTAAAATTCCTTACAGAAAAAAAATGCATCGTTTGGTAAACTGGGTCAGGGACATGTGACAACAGGCCTCTTATTTGGATACTCAAAGGCATTCTAATGGAGAATATGAAGGAAGCCTTTATCCCCTCCTCTTGGAATTTAGTGTTGACTCTATTTCTTTCCAAATGGCTTTAAGATGACACCCAGAGCCTGAAAGTCTCTGTCTCCTAAGAAAGGAATGTTCATCTTTTTTCCATTTGTATTTCTTAAAGAAGATGGACTATAAGGCTTCTATTATGCATTTCACTGCCTTGGACTCAGGCTGCTGTGAGAAGCGAGGTTAGGATTACAAAGCAAATATAACCACAGGAGTAAGAAAAAGCAGAAATTCTGGCTATCATTCCAGGCATTTCATGGCAAGGCGTCCTTCCAGGAGCCACCTTGCTGATAGAAATATAAGGCTGGGGGCTGGGGAAGTGGCAAAAGTAAAAATTAGACAGGAAAGAAAAAGAAAACATGTTTTCAGTGGACAGTATTAAAATCTATATATTCAAATTCAAAGAGGGAGTAGGTGTGAGGCTGCTACAACCACTAGGTCACAGCTTGGAAGCCAAGACTCAGAACACTTTGGAAACTTTGGTCTCAAAATTCAGGGCATTTCTGGCTAGGCTGGGGCAAGAGGATGGATAATCTCTGGGTGAGAAAGTCAGTCACCTAGGAAGGAGTCACACTAGTTATTTTTCCAAATTGGGTAGGTCCAACTTGTACAACACAGGAGACAGTGGGGAACCTAGATGGGAGGGATGGATGAAGAGAGAGAGAGAAGCAAAAGGGAAAAAAGGTAGACCTTTAAGAAAGCCTGGGTCATCTGACATTAAGTAAAAAAGCCCAGCTACTACTGTTTAACTGAACAGTTTGGGACTGCTCTGAACGAGGACTAAAGTACCACAGGCCTTAGAACCCAAACCAGGATTCCAACATCTGGAGGATTTTGTTTTTACCTTGAACTTTTCCCAATAGCCCCAAAAGGTAAAGAAGCAGAGCACGGAGAAAGAGGGGAAGGAGGGTCATGGACAGAAAAGAAAAAGGGACACACCTTCTTTGACACAGGTGTTGTTCTTCAGTTGATAGTCCTGAGGGCAGTCACACATCAGGTCCCCAGAAGGGAGCACACTGCTGGACACACCTTCTGGACACCTGCAGCTTTTACTGTTGTTGACCTTGGGCAGGCACAGCAGGCTGCACGGTCTGGGCACACAGGCATTACTTCCTGGAGGGAAGAGAAATAGCAGCAGCATTGTAGATTAATACATATCACGAGAGACCCACTGTAACCTCCTCCTCTTACGGTATGGACATGACAATCAAAAGCTCAGCAAGATCAATCTACTGTGCTGAAAAACCTTTGCTCGGTAGCTTGCCTACAGGCTTCAGCTAGATCAGACTGCCCCAGAGCCAAGGCAAGCATCAGATGTTCCTCCTGGTAATTTGGAATCGGTTACCGAAAGAAAAGAAAGCAACCAAGGAGCTGCAGCTGGGGGAAGGTCACAGAGCATGGGTATCAATGGTGGTGGGCAAGCCAAAACCCTGTGGAAGTCAATGCTGTGAAGAAACACACTCTTGAAATGCAGATAAAATCAGCCTGCAGAGAGCCAGGAGACTAAAAGAGAGGTATGGAGGCCAAGCACAGCAACATGTGCCTGCAGTCCCAGCTACTCAAGAGGCTGAAACAGGAGGATCGCTTGAGCCCAGGAGATCAAAACCAGCCAACAAAGTGAGAGCCCATCTCTAAAAATTTTTTCTTTTTTTTTTTGAGTTGGAGTCTCACTCTGTCACCCAGGCTGGAGTGCAGTAACTTTAACCCTCCATAAGGCCTCTGAAGTACCTCGACCTGCTGGGTGGCTCAGAGAACCTGAGCCCAGCAGGCAGAGTGCACATAGCAAAGTGGCAGTCCAGAGGGGGAAATATCTAGGCTAGAAGCCAGGAGGGGGTCTCAGTTTTGCTGCTCAGTAGGCCCTGTGGAAATTGTAGTTTCTTTTTCCCTTTTGGGCCTCTGCTACTCTATTTGTAAAATGGGGCTGGTAGGATTGTCTTGTGTACTACAAGATTGATGTAAGGATCAAATGAGAAAACAAATGTAACCAACTAAAAGACACTTGACAAATGTGAGAATTCAGAACAAACTATCCCAGAATTAAGAGGTTTTTTGTTTGTTTGTTTGTTTGTTTGTTTGTTTTGAGTTGGAGTCTCACTCTGTCGCCCAGGCTGGAGTGCAGT